AACAGAACCGCCTGAATATGCTAGGGCAGGAGGCGCGGGAAACCCTAAACCCTAAACCCTAAACCCTAAACCCTAAACCCTAAACCCAAAACCCTAAACCCTAAACCCTAAACCCTAAACCCTAAACCCTAAACCCTAAACCCTAAACCCTAAACCCTAAACCCTAAACCCTAAACCCTAAACCCTAAACCCTAAACCCTAAACCCTAAACCCTAAACCCTAAACCCTAAACCCTAAACCCTAAACCCTAAACCCTAAACCCTAAACCCTAAACCCTAAACCCTAAACCCTAAACCCTAAATGCAAAAATACTACCTCAAATATGATATTACAAAACCCCATAAAGTCGCGTTTCCAACCCCAAACAGTCGCGTTTCCAACCCCAAACAGTCGCGTTTACAGCCGTAAACCGTAGTGTAACCGTTTTCCGGCCCTAACCGTAGCGTTTTTCACCCTAAACCGTCCGAGATGAACCGAGTTTTTGGTTGCAAAACTACAGATGCCTAACACCATGATATATTCCCTTTGGAGTTGAAATCGCATCGATTGGAGTACTTTTGATGATTTTATTTGGAAGTAGGAGTTCGAGTTGTTAGGGGATTTTTGTTTTTTTCTAGGGTTGGTTAGGGGAGTTCCGGATTTGGATTACATACTTACAATCATCTATCGCATCGTCGAGAGAGGAGATCTCTTTGGAATAACTATTCTCGATTTCGGCTTCTTCCTGCTGCTCTCGTTGGGCGTCCATGAGAAATCGGTGACGTTTTCCTTCTCCTCATCGACGCTGTCGTCCTTAAATATTCGATACAACTTCCTCGACGTTTTCTCCTCATTATGGACAACGACGTCCAAAGCAGATACTTCTTTCTTTTCTTCGATGAAGGAACGTATTCTGTCCGAGAGCGAAAGCATTTCTTCCGTTCTTCGTTCAGATTCGAGAGCCGTTGCGTTTATTGTTTCCTCGAAATGTTTTGATTTCTCCACTGCGTGCGCAACCATCTTCATTTCAAATTTTTCTGCATCCATCTCCGCCTTTTGAAGTTTATCACTGAGCGCGGCAACATTTAAAGTGTGTTCCTTCTCTTGTCGCGGCGAGCTCGTCTTTGACCCGTCCCAGTTCTTTTTGTAGAGTATTATCTTCCTTATTTCTCGCTTTCTTCGCGAAGAGATCATTGAACTCTTTTTGAACGGTTTCCACATCTCTTCTTCGCTCTGAAATGCACTCTTTTAGTTTGGTTAATTCTGCGATTCGCGTTTGTTCAAGTCTCTCCTTTTCCTTGCCAGCCTCTACGTACGTCTTTGTCAACTCGCGACTGAGCTTGGCATTATTCTCCTTTGCAAGTTTTAGCTGTTCCCGCGTTTGAAGCAAAAAACCTCTTTGAGCTTTCAGTTTCGCTTTGAATACACGTTGCTCGTTCGTCGACTTTCTCTCCGTTTCTGTCTCTCGAACGTGAAACATTTTCGCCACGTCGTGCGTAATGTTTTCCAAATCACGTTCGTAATGCAAAGACGCAAAGTTTCGCCCGTAAACGTACGCTTTCTTCGATGTCTCGAATGCCGCTTTCTTCATCTCCCGCATTTCGATTCTTGTTTTCTCCTCTCTTTTATCGTATTCTCGTTGCATCGAACTCATAGCCTCCTCAAAAGTCTTTTTCAGCGCTTCCCGCGTTTGCACCAATTCGTCGCGCAGTTCTTTCTTTTCGGATTCTAACTCTTGAATCAACGATACTGACTTGTCTGACATGTGATCGAGTTGGTTTTCGAACGCTTTTCTGTCCGCTTCTAACGCTTCAATACTCATTTTCAGTTCATCAATCTCTTCGTCTTTTTCCCGAGCTGCAGAGCGCGCGTATTCAAGTTGCAAAGAAAACTGTTCCGTCATTTTCATCTCTTTCTTCGAAGTAATTCGCTGTTCTTCTAGCAATCGCGTGACCTCCTTCTCCATATAGAGGTGTTTCCGCTTTAACGAGTCTATTTTGAGTTGCTTTTCGAGAACTTCACTTTTAGCTTCCGTAAGAAGCGAAGCGAGGTACGAATGGCTGTCTTCATCGTTATCGTCGTCTTCATCTGCTGCTACTGCCGCGGCCGACCTCATGCTGGAAATGCCAACGCCTTGGGACGATATGAATCTTTTTAACTTGGCGAGCTCTTTCGATACTTCTCTGTGCATGCATCTCAAATCATCGTTCGATTGTATCAACTCTTCGCACTTTCGATGTTTCTCCTGGAGATTTCTCCTATTCCCTTCCTCCAAACTCTTCGCCAACGCAAGCTTCTCTCGGAGTACTTGAATCGTCGTTTCCAACTCTAATATCTGAGAATGCATCAACACGGACGACGTGGATGTCGTTTCTGTCGATGACTGTTGTCTCCTTCTTTCGTTCGCTTCTATTTCTTCTTCTTTTTCTTTTGAGGAGGAGGAGTTGCTGTTTTTGAAAATCCTCCCCCCCATTGAGCGCGGTTGTTCCAGCTCTCCCGACGGGGTTGATGGCATCGTTGCCGCCATCGTAGACGATGTTGAGGGACAATGCGAAAGCTTTCCTAGTTGTATCCTCGCTCTCGCGCGCACCCGAGCTCCTGGACTTTCGTATCCATCATCATCATAATCATCAACAATACTCATCCTCCTTTCAACGGTCGTTTGAAGATGTGAAGAATCCAACTTTTCATGTTTTCAAAGAGAGGGAAAACACAACATCATCCATCAGTGACATCACAAAAAAGCTCGAAGTCGCGAATTAACAAACTTTGGTAAAGAGAGGAAACCCAACACAGTGAACTGAAAACGAGCGCGCGCTTTCTTTTCTCGTCCTCGTCGTTTTCGTCGAATGCTCTCTAGTGCAGTTCTAAAACACGGAACCGCTTGTTTATTCAAGCGCAGCAGTTGCAGTCGCAGCACCTCGACGTGTTTGTGCAACAACAGGTGGTTCCTTCAACATCGACGGCGACAACACCAACATCATCAACAACAACAACAACATCAAAAGACGATGACGAGTGCGGCAGCCGGAAATTCTGGCGCTCGAGAAGCCGTAGAGGACAGATTGGAATCCATATCGAACCACTCTTGGGTGGAGAAATTGAATCCAGACCCAGAAACCGACGTCAACGCGCCGAACAGAAAGTCTCGTCGAGTAAAATCTGGACACTTCGTGAGAGTACAGCCGACGCCTTTGAAACGTCCGGCGTTAATCATCCATTCGAAAAAAGTACTCGAAGATATAGGGTTATGTGAAGGTGACGAATCGTCCGAGACGTTCGTGCGTTTCTTCTCCGGAGATTCCGACGCCATACCGGGAATGAAAACGTGGGCGACGCCATACGCTTTGAGTATTATGGGCCAGAAACACACCTCGAACTGTCCGTTTGGGACTGGTGAAGGGTATGGAGACGGACGCGCTATTTCAGTTGGTGAAGTCTTAAATCCAAAAACAAATCAACGGTACGAGTTGCAGTTGAAAGGTGGTGGCCAAACGCCGTTTTGTCGCGGCGCCGATGGAAGAGCGGTACTTCGTTCGAGCATTCGAGAATTCATCGCTTCCGAAGCCATGGATGCTTTAGGGATTCCAACCACGCGTGCGTTATCCCTCATTCGATCGGAAGGTGGCGATGTTTCAAATAGACCTTGGTACAGCGCGTCGGTGGAAAAGCAAGTATCGAAACAACTCAACGAAGTGACCGTAGATGATCCGAGGCTGGCTCGATTTGACGCTTCAGAAAGAGAAGCCATCGTCGGCAGAGTGCGCGCGCAAAAGCGGGACCCTGATACGATGATTCAAGAACCCAACGCAATTACGACGCGCGTTGCGCCTTCGTTTTTGCGCGTTGGTCATTTGGATTTGTTCTCGCGTCGCGCCTCGAAACCAGACGCGAGTCCGTTACAAAAACAAGAGCTCGAAATGCTAGTGAGACATTGTTATTTTCGGGAATTTAGTGAAGAGAACGATTCTTGGTCTTCGACTGCTCCCATAGAAGATGTCGCGCGCGCTGTTTTAGAAAAATCGGCGGCTGGAATTGCATTCTGCGTCGCTGAATGGTTAAGGGTTGGATTTTGTCAAGGGAACTTTAATGCTGACAATTGTCTCGTCGCCGGACGAACGATGGATTACGGTCCTTTTGGTTTTCTCGACGCTTACGATCCCGCGTTTGCGAAATGGACGGGGAGCGGTGACCACTTTGCATTCGCAGCTCAGCCGCAAGCTGCGGTTGCAAATTACTTTACCTTATGCTCTGCACTCTCTACGCTATTGAAAGGAAAAGAAGCTGAAGGAAACGTGCTCATAGAAACGTTTGCGAAAACGATTGAAAATGAAGTGACAAATGTCTGGGCAAAAAAGCTTGGTTTTCGCGACGATGCGCCGAGTTCGAGCAAAGCAGCCGCGCGCGATTTATACGATGAAACCATTCAGGATCTTCTCTACAGGCACAGAGCCGATTGGACGATGTTTTGGAGAGAACTCTCGAACGCTGCGCCGGACCTAATCTCGCGAAAAATGTCGGCGAAGGAGGCGTTTTCAACTTTTCTCGAGAAGAAGGCATTTTACAAGTCTACATTTTCGGAGCAAGAGATTGAAATGTGGACCAAGGCGTTGGACGCGTGGATAGCGGCGTTGAGAACGTCGGGTGAAAACGAATCCACGGCTGGAGAAATAGTCTCGAGGATGCGTCTTGCAAATCCAAAGTATGTTCCGAGAGAATACATGCTCGTGGAGGCGTACGAAGCGGCTGAAGTTGGCGATTACTCCGTGTTACGCGACGTTTTCAAAGCTTGTTGTGAAAACCCATACGACGAAGGTGAGAACAGTAAATACTACGGTCTCGCGCCCGAGGAGTCACTTTCAAAAGGGGGCATTGCATTCATGTCTTGATCCTCGTAGTCTTTCCCGATATTGTTTCTGTCGCTTTTATTCAAATAAATTGAATGAAACGACGAAAACATCCGGGAAAGATCAATAGTAAAAGCATAAGCAAAAGACGAGTTCGTTTTCATCCATTCACATTGAGAGGAGTGGTGATGATAAAGGAATATCTCGTGACGCCTAGGATTGTCTCAAAGCGCGCATTACTTTTGTGCGCTGACTCCGGGCCGATAAATTTATAACGTCTTTTGTCTGGCTTTTTGTACATTATATAGTTCGAAGAAGATCAAGAAAGGAGTGCGAGGGAGAAGAATGGAACGTACGTAAACTAGCATGTAGAAGCAACACCATTGTGTTTTGATTTGTGTCATAAGCACACATAACTTTCGCTTTTCAATATATTTCGTAAATGCAACCCTACAATAAATCCACTTTTTGCTTTATTCTGATACTCCCGTCTTCGTCCGCGGGGGTGCCACGTTGGTTTTCTTTAATTCGTTTTTGTCTTCTTCCGACAAAGCTAAAATTCGCGCGTTGTATTTATCGAATTTTTTCCACTCTTTCGCCACTCCAAGCACGCAACATCCCTTGATCAGATCACATGTGAACGCGACGCGGGGATCCCCTAAATCCACTTTGTGAAAGTCTGCGCTGACTTGCTGCGCAATTGCGTCGATGGCCTCCATTCTCGGGACGCTGTTGTTATAGCGAGAGCCAAAGACGACGGAGAACGTTGACTTTTTCACTCGGTCTTCTTTCGTTTCACCGTCAACTTCTATATTTGGTAAAAATCTATCGATGATAGGTTTCGCATGTGCTTTAATCTCCTCACTGCTTGCGAAGCACACGTCCTGGACTGGTAATATGCGCTCTATAAATCTCGAACGCGTGCGAGACGTTTCTTTCACCTCGCTCAAGTACCGAACGACCATTTCCGATGGATCTGCCTTGCTCGCTGCGTCCTTTGACATCAAAACAAATATGCACGCTTTCATATCTAAGTCTACGATTTTGAATTTCTTATTTTCAAGCTTATCGTCCTCTTTAATTGATTCGATTTCGGATTTCAACGCGTCCTCGACCGATAACACCGGCGGCGTAGGTTTCTGCTTCTCCTTTTCAACCGCATCAACATCATCTCCTTCTTCTTCTTCTTTTGGCATATCAGCATCCTTCTCGTCGGGAGGTACGATATCGTCGTAAATGTCCAACATTACCCGCATCAAATCGCGTGCCGTTTGTTTCTCTTTTCCGACGTCGCTGGATATTAGAAATCCTTTAGCACCGTACGGAATATTCGCGGAGGATGAACTCTGTAGTTGGTAAAGAAAAAGTTTGTTGTTTTAGTTGTTGTTTGTGATGGTTTTTGGAAAAGCAGATATTATTAATCGAGCACATAACACAGATGGTCGGAAGAATATGAATGAGAATAAAACCTACCGCGCGTCCAAATCTTCGCTTTTTTATCATGGCTCCGTCCTTTCCACCTTGCCATCTTTTACCAGCCATGTGTTTGTGTGTTTGTTTGTGCGTCCCAAACGTCTTATTAATTAGGTTATTGATAGTAGTTTTGAAAGTTAGGGGATTTTTTTTGGTCGATTGATTTGTCCACACAAAAAGAAAACCTGAAAAAGAAAGAAAGAATGTCCGCAGCAACAACGAGAAAAGGTAAAGTATTCGTCGTCGGAACGAACGAAGTCATAACATCTGCAGCCGTGACGGCAATATTGTGCGGCGAAGGACGCGAAGACGACGACGAGCGCGTATCGAGAGACGAAATCGACTCGACTCCAAATCCAGTGAATTGGTCGTTACGCACTAGGTATTACGAGGCAGATTTAGAAATCCATCATCACAGCATAACGATTGAAACAACCGATGGTGATGATGTCCGCGACGACGAAGAAGATGATGAAAGCAGAGGCGCGACGATAAAAAACAAAAAGACGCAAAGAATTTTGACCTTAGCAGAAGCGAGCGAGTTTAGCGCAGTCGTCATGGCGTGTAAGTGCGATAACGCGGTCGACTTTTCTTTGTTAAAAGCGTACGTAGATTCAAACAGAGCGGTGTTTTCGAACTTGATAGCCGCGGTGGATGGAGAAGAAGTCGACGCGACGCGATTGCTTCTAGTTGATGGCACCGAAGATATCGACAGCGCAGAAGTAAATCCATTCATAACGCAATGGTGCTTACTGAATAATATTGAACCCGTTCGAGTCTCCTTGCTCTCTAGAAACGCCGACGATACGCTGCGAGAGGTTGGACAGCGATTAGGGGATCCGCAAGGCGTTCAACGAGTCGTCGACGCGCTTTCAGCGACGAAATGGCCCGGTTTAATTTTAAGCAACACCGCGGGAGGAGGTAATCAAGACGCGGCTACGAGGAGTGTTCGGAGCGAATCGACGGAAGCGGTTGAAATTGATTCAGACGATGATCTCGATTTCATACAGATGCGAGACCGCCGCGCCGAAAACGGGAAAACACCGTCCTCGAGTGGAAGAGGGGCGAGCGCATCACGGAACAGGAGCAACGACAACAATAAGAAGAAGAACAACAACGGTATAGAGAATGATATTGATGAAGACGATCTTTCGTTTCTCGGAGCCGACAGCGAGCTCATATCGAAAATAAAAGCCATATCTGAACGCGCACAGAGAGGAGCAGGAGACATGTCAAACGAGGAGAGGAGGGAAGCGGCGTTTTCGGCCATCGAAGAGTTGATGTCAGCCTTTAAAGACTTGGATCCATTGCAGGAATTTAATCCACTTCCAACGTCAGAAGAAGGAATGCGGAGAGAGATAGAAGAGGTCGCAGGTAGTTTTAACATGCACAGTGCTGGTCGCGATTATGAGGACGACGACGACGACGATGCGAGCAGCAGTTAGCCTGTAGCAGCGAAATTTGTATTCAAAAAATAAATATTTTCTCTCGCTCCTGCATTCGTCTTTATCGCGACATCAATGACAACAAACGCGTTCGAAATGACCAGCGGGTCGCTCGCTCGAGTGTGCCATGAGAATAAGCAGTGCGTCATAAATACCCGTATTGCGTTCCTTCCACGTGCAGTTGCTTTTTATTATTATTTAGGTTTCTTTCTGCGAACGCGTATTTTTTATTGACCAAACTCGTTCTTCTTCTTCTTTCAAACACTTTCAACGAACAAACAGGTACGCGCACGCACCAGAATTGAATGACACTTTGCATTTGACGGGAAGAGGTATAAAAGAGCTGAAGTGTTTAGAGCCGTACGTTAATTTGCTCGCGATACACTTGACAGCAAACGTCATAAGCTCATTGGACGGTTTGCACAGTCTTCGAAAACTACGCTCCTTACACGTGGCCCATAACAATTTGACCAATCTCAAAGGCATTGAAAACCTCACCGAACTCCGCTTCCTAGATGTATCGAGCAATATTGGTATGAACTCTATCGATGCACTCGCAAATCACGGCTCTATCGAGGTTTTACTGTGCGGGAACAACAAGAGTTTGAGATGTATCGAGGCGCTCTCGACGTGTCCGTGTTTGACCGCGATTGACTGTCGAGATTGTGGTATATCCGGAACAGCAAAGAATGAGAGCGAAAGGATGTTGAGTGTAATATGCAGTTCGAGTTGTTTAGCTTCGTTGAATTTGAACGGGAATCCAATCATGGCACAGATTAGTGAGCCGTTTCGCATTTTCTGTATTTCAAAGGCGCGCGCGTTGCAAAATTTGAACGAGATACCCGTTCTCTTAAAAGAACGTCGGATATCCGAGGCTTATATGCTTCGAGGTGGCCGCGACGCTGCTCAAGAAGAAAAGCGAAAGATTCAGGAAGAAGAAGAGCGAGAGCGAGAGGAACAATGGGCATGGTTTCATGAGCTGATTGAAACCAAGAAGGAGGCGGTATAAAAGGCGAGTTTTTTCTATCATATCTAAGTTTACATTTCAAGTGAACGGCACGAACGAGCTATAATCACAACTCCGCTTCTGAAGCCTCTGTGAACGCGTCCGATACGCTGTATTTGGCTAAATCTTCTAACGAACTACCCGTGTTCAAAACTCTGAATTTACCATCCGTTCCAGAAAACGCCATCGAAATACTCGTTTGACATTTCAAAGCCTCCGTACTTCCTGCAGCAATGGCACACGTGCCAGCGGATGCACTCGCCGTGGCTAAACACTCACAGTCGCTATCCTCTTGCAATATGCACGCGTAATTCGCATTTCTTGAATCCGTGGCGTTGACACCGACGTGTAAACATTGTAAATTATTGATACCACCGCACGCGCCGCAGCCGACGTTCTCCCACTGTAAATCTTCCAAGTTTCCTTCGTCAAACCGCGCTAAAAGCGTCAACGACGATACGCGCCCGTGTTTCCCCGCAAAATCCGTCAGAAGAAGTGGGTATGTGGATTTCACTCGAATGACCCGCGGTATCGATCGCACGCCTCGCGCGAAGGCCACCACGCTTAAAAAGGTTGCCTGTGAGGGTGTTGTCGTCTCCATTAAACCGTCTTCGTCCTGTCTTGATGTTCTCAGTAACGTCATCTCATCCACACTCACGCGAAACGATGAAATTGCGACACCCTTCTCCGTTAAAGTCGATCTATTCGAGCTATCGCACGGGTCTAAATCGCCCCAATCGTCGATAGAACCGTTCGGGAAATACGCCAGGCCGATTGTGAACGACTTTTTGAATCTGGCTTTGCCTTCGTTCACACACGGGTCGTATATTCCCGCCGCGTTCACATCCATCACTATTGTTCCAGAAAATGTGAACAACAACAAGGGTAACCAACTCGCGGACGCGAGCAAAGAGAACATTTTCATAGTAATTTTCGTCGTCTCACGCGCGTGTGTTTTTGTAAAGTGTCACACAAGTGTGTATCTGACGTCTCAAAAACTTGAAAGACTCATTGAAAAAATTACTCATCGAACTTTGAAACTCACAAACTTTCATCAATTTTTATATCGCCACAACAACACAAAGTATATGCCCGATGCAAATATATCGTCAATTATTTGAAGAGATGTGTAAACAGACAGATACAGAGAGATAGGGGGTGAGAAATCATGCACTCGAGGCGCACGGGAGCGTCGTCATCGGCGGCGGCGACATCTTCTTCTCAACATCGTCATCAACACCATCATACGCGAAGTTTCGATGAAAAAGACGAAGAGTTATACAAGAAGAGAGGCGTGGTGAAAGCGAGACAAAGACGAAAAGTTGTCAAAATTACCGTAACCCCTTCACGATTAATGGAGTTGTTCTTAATCGTATTGCTCGGGTGGTTCGTTTACGACAACTATCGAAACGATAAAACTAAAAGGAGTACCTCCCTTCTTCGAGACGAAGGAGAAAAAACAACCATTCTCTCAAAAGTTCAAACACTCTTTGGTTTCTTTCGTAAAGAAGACGACGACGAAACAACAACAACAACAACAACAAGCGCGTCAGAGAAGCAACAAGCGCGTCGATCGAAGGGAGCGAAGGTCTTCGTCTCTTCCGAGAAGGAGGATGAGGAGGAAGATCCGTTAGCAAAGTTGGATATGTCTCTTATCGAGCGCCAAAAAGTTCATGATGCCGACGGCGTTGGCAAAAAAGAGGACGATTTCGATGCGGATACTTCAGAAGGAACGCTCGGCAGTGGTGCAGAAGTCGAAACACACAGAGAGGGAAACGTGGCGTCACCGAGAGCGTCTTCAAAGCGACCATGTAAAGGCATCTTTAGCGCATTAGAATTTGGCGAGTGTTCTGTGAAATGTGGTATCGAAGGAGGTATAAAACTCCCACTGTTTGAGAAGGATGACAACATGGACGAGGATTGCGTCTTACCGAAACCGCCGGTATCATCGAGTATGAAGTGCAATGTCGGTGTAGAGTGTCCGCAAAACTGTATCGGTAAGTTTGACGAGTGGACGGCGTGCGACGAAGAGTGCGGCGTAGGATTTCGACGACGACAATTTATAGTAACACAACCCCAGAAAGGTACCGGATCAAAGTGCGCGTACCTTAATGGGCACGTAGCCACGGAAAAGTGTTTTGGAGATAAAACAGGCACGACATTTTGCCAAAACAGGGATTGCGCCGGAGATTTTGGCGCGTGGTCGAAGTGCACAAAAGAATGCGGGGGAGGCACGAAGCATCGCGTGTACTCACAAACGCAAAAAGCGGGAACGTTTGGTAAGTCGTGTCCGTATCCTGACAAATATCGCGAACAAGAAAAGTGTAACGAAGAGGAATGCATACTGCCGGACTTTTGTGAAGGTCGATGGAAAATCACCGAACCTTGCAGTGCGAAATGTGGCGGTGGGAAGACGACCAGGGCGTTTTTCGTGACGAAAGAGGGAAAAGAGTGTCCGAATGAAGACGTTCGAGAAGTTCTGTCTTGCAACACGCAGAGCTGTCCGAAGGCGAAAGATTGCGGTAAATGGGAGCCATGGAGCGCGTGTTCGGTTCCATGTGACGACGGTATTCAAACGAGAAGGTATAAACGCACTGGACCTGCAGTTTTCGGAGGGAAATGTCCCGAAGAAGATGGCGCGAAGCAAAAGCGCAAATGTAATTTAGGATCGTGCGAAAATTTGTGCATGGGCGCATTTACAGATTGGGATGTTGAATGTCCGAAATGCATTTCAGAAGGATCTTACACAGCCGACAACAAATTCAGAACGAGAAAGTACGTCATTCCAGATAGCGACGCTGAAAACAGTAGCTCGTACGCTAAATGTCCGCACGAAAACGGATACGTTGAGCGTCAAAAATGTCCACCGTTGATGATCACGTGTCCAGTACGATGTATTGGCGAATGGAGCGCGTTCTCCAAATGCACACGCAACTGCGACGGTGGGACAACAAAAAAGACGTATTCAATCTTTCGACCCGCGAAAGGGAGTGGGGAGCAGTGCGAGGCAAAGCATGGCCAAGTCGTTGAAAATGAATGCAACACGCATAAATGCGAACGCGAATGTCTAGGCGTATGGAATAAACACACTGGGTGCATAGTTTCGGCGAAAAACTTTGCAGATCCTGATTTGAAATGTACCGGTGAAAAGATCGAACGCTTCGATTTGATTCCTCCACAAATTGAAAAGCACATAGGGTGCTCTTTACCAACAGTCGGCGGTGATATTTTCGATACGTACGAGGGTGAAAAAGGATGGTTTAAACGTGTACTTTGCGATACTGGCAAATGTATCAAGAAGGTTGAAATCGAAATCGTTTCTGACGACGGCGGGAATAGCTATGACGACGACGACAACGATGCCGACGACGAGGAGAACACGCGCGTATCGAAAGTGCGCAGAAGTAAAAGAAGAGGAGGTAGTAGTGGTAGCATGAAATAGAACTGAGTACTCCAGTGTGTAGCCTAACCTAATCAAGCACTATTAAGCACGTGTGAAGCGTGTTTAGAGTGAATTAGAGTTGTTTATTTAAATTACAGGATTTCGATCTCGTCTGCTGTCACGTGTACCAAGAACGTTTTGCCACTTCCATCCGGATTCGGCAAAGCAACTTTCACCGGAAGATTGGCTGAAATGTACGTGCCGTCGAGATCATCCGCTCTCTGTGCAACTTCTCCCTCCATACCGTTTAAATCAGTCGCCGCCCCTTTGGTTTTCGGCACGTGATACACTACGACCGATTTGTTCACTCTGACTTTCGCTCCCACAGGAACGTCGTCCTTCTCCGAAGCACCCACGTTGACGATGGTCATTTTTCCTCTTCCGTTCGATCTTTTCAGAGAGGAAGAAGAAGAAGAAGAGGTGGACGAAAGCGTAGTCGCCGCGGTCAAAGATGAAGTTAAACTGAACATGTTACGTTTTATGCGTTGTGTATATGTATAATGTGCACCGCTCGTGTGCGTAACAAAAAGTGACGTGATATCGAAGACGAGGAAGCAGAATGAGAAGTGGATTATCTGTTTTTGGCAGAAGCATGACAAGGCATATCCAAAACATCAAACAAAGGAGTGACACACAGGGGTCGTGACGACAAAAAACGTCTGCACAACAGGCTAACACAAAAATATCTCTCGCCTCCTCAGTTTTTCAAAGCGAGACAAGGAGACAACAAATAATGTTTACGACGACGACGACCAATGTAACGAACGGCAACGTGTCCTCAGACACTCGCGTCACTTCTATCGCATCTCGCTCGTCCAGCGCCTCCTCTTCCTCCTCTGCTCACTCCTCCTCTTGGAGAAAGACGAACAACCGCCCCGCGATGAGTTTTTCTAACAAAAAGTTTTTGTCGTCGTCATCATCGCCAGGAAGAGATTCCTTTTTCACGCGCGCGTCGTCGGACCCGTCGTTGAACCCGTCGTCGTCGTCGCAGAATGAAGCGTCAGAGAGTTCGAAGGAAAAGACGTTCGGGAAAAATGTGGACGTGGAGAAGTACACCATAGATCAGCTCGCGTTTCTTTCCAGAAAAGAACAAGGCAAAAAGGAAGGTAAAGTCATCCTTCCCGATTATCACAACTGTACGAGGTGCAACGGAACAGGCAAGGATTTTTGCAGCGCGTGCAAAGGCAGGGGAACGAATGATCACGACATTACAGACGACTTCGAATCAGACGTATACATAGTCGGTTCAACGGCGGAACAGTGGAACTTGATCAAATCGACTTTAGGAGAGTCCACGCCGTGTTGGTTGTGTCGCGGTAAAAAAATTGCCATATGCAAAGATTGCAGGGGAACGGGTTGTCGAGATAGGGACAAGCTGTGGGTCAGGGTTTAGATTGCTCGCGAATACGACTCAACCGTGATGTTTATAATTTATCATTGTGGATGTCTGCTTACGTATACGTATATTTATGTATACATTTTTCATCACGCCAAAAACACGCAGTTTGCGTACGATGTACGCGCGTACGAGTACTCGTCTAAAAATTTTGCCCCAACTCTTTACTACTGCAGCAGAAAAATCGCGAAAATAAAGCGCGCGTTGTTGTGTACAGTGCACACATACAGCAAGAACATCCTCATTTGTCACTCTCGGGACAAATTGAATGTCGGTGAGACGAATTCGTTCTATCACATCCTCTACTGTTGCGCGAAACATACTCTCACGCACGGCGCAAAAAAGCTTTACCTCGTTTTCCGCTCCTCCAATTCTTCGACTAAAAGTGACGGCGACGAAGCCAACAGCCCCGTCTGCTCTTACTCTTACTGCTCTTACTATTCATTCTAGCAGCAGGAGAATGTTTTGTCGGGTTGTACCATCTAATGTGTCGTCTTCCTCGTCAATGTCTATGCAAAGTCATTCGTCAGGTACGCGAGTAGGATCCTCGACGTTCGCGAACGGTGGCGTCTGTCTTCGTCGTGCGTTCTTTTATTATCCTCGAACGATGACGACGACGACGACACACGTTGGCCGCCAGCAAAGCTTCTTGCTCACGGAGCGACAACAGCGAAAAGCGGGAACTAATAGGGTACGAAGAAGCTTTCAGTTTGCTCCAGTTTCTAAACAATCGGCATCGGGTGGCTCGAGAAATACAAGAAGCAACGCGACGAATGGTGCCCGAGGAAATGCGAGCGCAGCATCCCCTGGTCCTGGTGCTGCAAGCAAACCGAAACCATCGTCTGCGAGCACTGCTTCCTCTTCAGCCTCCTCTGCGAAAACTGCGACTTTACCAAAAGCTCCGCGAGCGCCGAAAAAGAAGAAAGGGCCAGCAAACGGCGCAAACGGCGGTGGCGCCGGCGCCGGCGACAAGAGTAGTCCGCCGTCAAACCGAAGGAATAATAATAACAACAAGACCGGTCGCAACAGAAACGGCGGTGGTCGAGGAAATCAACAACAGAAAAACTTCAAGAAGAATTCCGCCGCGAGCGGCGCAAATCAAAACGAAAGCTTAAATGCCAACGTTTTGACGTGTCCAAACGGACGCGAGCGATTGAAACGCAAAGAGGCAAAGGAGTTTTTAGATCTCTTTAAAGAGCAAACTGGAGGCACGGCGTTGTGCAAATCTGTGGACGATTCAAAGAACGTGTTGCATTTTGTGCAACAAAAGATGTTGTTTAAACAGAAAATTTCGTATCAGACTAGTGGACCGCCGCACAGTAGGCGTTTCGTCTCTACTCTAGAAGTTCCGATACAAACTGCTGCATTTCAATCGTTAGATGTGTTACCATCTTCGGCAACAGTTAACGGCGATGTGGTAACTTTTATGGGAGGCGGCATTGCGTTCACCAAAAGAGAGTCCTCATCACTCGCCGCTTTGGATATATTGAAACAGCTTTTAGAGTCTGGCATTGACCCAAAAGCACCTCCAAGCGTTGCCAAGATGAAAGAAAAAGAAATGAAAGAAAGAATTCAAAATGCGCAAGCTTTACTGGAGTTAGTTGATAGCTCGAGACCTTCTATCGACATATCCAAGAGACGAGATGGAAAAGCTGGTTTTGAGGCGGTGTTATCTTGCTTTGTCGACGGAGGAAAGAAGCTCGAAGGTGTTGGATACGGTAAATCAAAGTCCGAAGCTGAAGGAAACGCACTTCTGAACGCGTCGGAGGAACCTTTGAAGGAGTTACTTGGCGAGAACGTGATGAAAAGATTGCAAAAAGTTATCGCGGACTCTCCTGGGGGCCACGTTGCAACGCTGAGAATTCAAGCCTTACCGGATGAAGCAGTAGAAGTCCTCGTCAATGCTATGGGGTCTCCTGATGAGCATGACGAAAGAGTGATGGCTTTGAAAACCGAATGCCAAGAACTCGAACGACGCAGAGAAGAGAAGGCGGCGCGCAACGCCGAAAGTGGAGGAAATACCAGTTGGAGGAAGAAAGGTGAAAACTTGAACGAGTACCTCTTTAAATCCAAAAATGCAGAAGATTTATCCAAAGCGGAGGAGATTTTGGTCAGTAAGTACCGAGAAGAGCAAGCAAAGACGTCGCAAGAGATTTTACAGGAAGAAATCGAGCGCGAAAGACGAGCGAATGAGGATATAGATTCAGAAGAAGCTAAAATGGCACGTTTCCGAGAAAAGTTGCCAATTATTGAATTGAAAGAGGATATGTTGAAAGCGCTAGAGACCCAATCAGTCGTAGTTGTTTCTGGTGGAACTGGTACGGGTAAATCTACGCAATGCCCGCAGTATATTTTAGAAGATGCCCTAAGGAAAGGTAGAGGTGCAGAAACCAAGATTATCGTCACGCAGCCGCGCCGAATTGCGGCAATCTCAGTTGCCGAGCGCGTCGCCGCGGAACGCTGTGAACCGATTGGAAATTCCGTTGGTTACCGCGTCCGTTTACATGGGTCCGAACCTAGAAGTATTGGTGGTACTGTCCAGTTCGTCACCACGGGTGTTTTGTTGAGACGATTAGTTCGCGATCCAGAAATATCGGACGTTTCCCACGTGATTATCGATGAGGTACACGAAAGGGACATAAACACGGATTTCTTACTCGTACTTTTGAAGGAATTGATTCAAACCAGAAGAGATCTAAAAGTAATCTTGATGTCTGCAACTCTAGATGCTGAATCATTCTCAAAATATTTCACAATGGATACCGACATTGCTCGGCAAACGCCGTTGCTATCTGTGCCACCGAAGCCACGACATCCAGTCGAACTTCATTACCTAGAAGATATACTAGAGCAAACGCAATCAGACAACAGCAGAAATGGCGATGGTTTAGGAATACCGAGTGCAAATTCAAATGTAAACGACGATGGTGACGATATTATAGTTCAAAACAATGAAAATGAAATAACGAAGATTGGCCAAGACGACGATTGGCCACCAATCGTTCGTCGTCTCGCGGCTGAACTATTGCACGTGCAAGATATCTCGCTCGCTCGTGAGCTCGAAGAAGTTGAAGCGGAATCGAGAGCCTCCATGCAGATTGAGCGCATCGCTGATGCCGAAGATGCTGGTGAACAGCCAGAGTTTTCGGAAGATGAATATGAGGATGACGATGAGGATGACAGTGTCGACGACGACGATGACAGTTTGAACGCTTGGGAAGATCGGATGAAAAACGATGGTAGAAAACACTCGCACGGTCGACCGAGATTACAAGCTTTGCGTAAAGCCGTCGCGCTGAAGAACGATCGATCGGAGTTGGGGAAACCAGGAGTCTCTGGGTTCGGTGGTGGTAAAATGCGAGTAAATAAGAATACCAAACTTGGTGATCGCGATCAGTCCGAAGTTGCCGTGAATTTAGTGGCCGAAATTGCAACCCACATTGCGAACAAAGAAATCGAAAACAATAGAAAAGGTACCGTGCTTTGCTTTCTTCCAGGTTGGGACGAGATTAAAGCTGCAACAGAGCTCATACGAAAATCTACCACGTACAACGAAGACACTATGAAAATCATGCCGCTTCATTCGTCCGTCCCGCAAGAAGAGCAGCAAGCAGTGTTTACGCCTGCGAAAGAAGGTACGATGAAGATAATTTTGTCTACGAATATCGCTGAATCGTCGGTGACTATCGATGATGTACTATCTGTGATTGACGCTGGTCTGGTACGAGAAATGTCCTACAACGCGGAAAGCGCCATGTCTTCCATGGAAACGGTATTGATATCAAGTGCTTCGGCAACTCAGAGATCTGGAAGAGCCGGCAGGGTCGCTCCTGGATCGTGCTTTCGTCTCTACTCTAGAGGTGTGCACGCTTCTATGGCTGAACGCCCCACTCCTGAAATACAGAGAACGGCATTGGAAGCGACGTGCTTGCAGACGGCAGCGATGACGGAAAGTGGTATTCAGAGATTCTTATCGAGAGCTTTAGATCCTCCGAGCGAAGATACGGTAATGTATGCTGTTGATCGATTGACCAAGCTGGGTGCGATTCAAACCATTGAAAGTGGCGAAAAGTTGACAGCCTTAGGTAGAACGATTTCCAATCTACCGATTGATCCAGCCATCGCGCGAATGCTTCTTTTGGGTTGCGTCACAAAGTGCTTAGATCCCGTTTTGACGGCGGCGGCTTCGTATTCATCTCGCGATCCATTTTACACGCCTCCAGGCATGCGAGATGAAGCGAGAGCTATTCGCAAATCGTTCCACGACTCTTCAGATTTACTCTCGGTGTGCCGGGCGTGGGATCAGTGCAACGATCTGTTCAACAACCGGGATTACGACACCGCTCGCCGTTGGGGCTCTGACAACTTTATCTCAATCGCAGCCATGAGTAATTTGACTTCTGTCCGATCGCAATTACTGAGCGATTTAGTGAAATTAGGTTTTGTTTCTGAGCGAGACTGCGAGGGATATGGTCAAAGGAGAGTGTTGCGTTACGATTCTGGAATAAACACGCACGCCAATAACGAGGCGCTTTTTAAAGGCATATTGGCGACTGGTCTTCCTTCGAATCTTGCCGCACGAAGATCTTTGGGCGCATTTGGTACTTTGCGTACGCGCACAGAAAGCCACGCAGGATTGCACCCCTCTGGAGTTGCCTTCCACCGGAAACCTCCACGAGGTGTCGCTCCTTTGCCGAAGTGGTTCGTTTACCGTGAAATGGTGCTCTCTTCCTCCGTTTTCCTTCGAGATTCAACTGCACTTTCGCCCGAGCAGGTTGCCATGTTTGCTGGTCATCAAATCTCGTTTGCACCTAAAGTAGAGGAAGCTCAAAACGATAGTACCGAAAGTGATGATGGTTTACTAAATGCGGACGGATCGGTCAACGCCTCCATGGATATCGATATGTCGTTTGACGGAGACGACATGGTCCCGTCGTCACGTTTCGACCGCAGCGCTGCAGGCAGAGCTAAGTTTCTCTTAGACGAGTGGGTATTTTTAGATTCGAATTGCGAAGATACCATGGATTTACTCCGAGACGCCAGGGAAGAGTTAAATATGGCGCTCAATTGGAGAGTAATGTATCCTCGTAAGCCACCGCCAGAGTCCTCGGAGGAAATCGTGGATGCCATCGCTCAGATGCTCCGAATAGTTGACGAACGTGAAAGAAGGAAGAATAGATCGCGAGCGCGTTTTTCGCGACAATCGCCTTCTTCTTCTTCTTCTGGTGCTCCTTCAAGAAGAAAATTTTAGGATGGTGTAAGTTGATATAAGAAGAAATAGTTTGTAATAGAAGTCACACCCCAAAAGCGTAAAACGATAGCAACTATGGAAACAGTGGATTACATAAAATGGAAATAAACTTTACGGACGTACATTTTTTTTTTCATATACAATACAAACTTGTAAGCACACACGCGGTCATGTGAGCACATCATTTTTTCTTCCCGAGGAATGCTTCTAACGCTTCAACCGAGGAAGATAATCTCTTCTTCTTCCTGCTGCGCTTTCTTGGATTTCCATTCGCAACTAATTTCAGCGCGTCGTCGTCATCGTATCCGTTTCTCCAGCGTTGAAGAGGATCAACCGGCGAACATTCGCGTAAATCATGTACAACTTGGTCTAGTACGGCTTTAGAAATACCGCTGCGCAAGTTACACGTTTTTTTCACGTGATGATATATGTTCTCTCGGGTGTATCCAAGACATTCGCCTATCAAGACGCCGTAATAGGGCGATTGCGCAACCAAAGCGCCTTGCGCACCAAATGAAGCTAAAAGTGCGGCTCTTTCCCTGTTTGGTGATATGTTTGGATAGAATACGGCGCTTAAAGCTGTTGAACCTTCAATGCGACACGCTACGCACGAGAAAATCTGCGGCGTCGTTGTCACCAACTCTTTTAAAGCCCGCTTAACGAATGGGCAGTCGATTGGTTGTACTTGCCCGTCTTCGACGAACGGTGCGTACAGTTGAATCAACGCTAGTGGACGATTACCCGCAAGCAGCGCGTATATTTCGCCCGCGTTTAATGTTAATCGCTCAACTGCCGTCAACGGTGGTTGAGATGGCGTCGTACCCAACGACCAAAAATCCGGATTCTCAGACGCTTTCGTTTTCAATGCTGTCAAGTCTGTTATCTTCTCGTGTTTGACCCAGTCTACCTGTATCGTTTGTTTGTGTCGAATCTCTTCCAACACCGGATACTTTCCTGCCGTCACTAGCTCTTTGTGCAGACTCTCAAACTCGGGACAGAAAGCGAGGAGCTCTTCCGGCACGGAAGAAGACGAAAAATTTCCTTCTCGTCCACCACCACCACCACCACCACGAGTGTGGAGTCTTGCTTCTTTGGCCGTTTTCGAGACGTTCAGTTGGTACTCAATTCCGTCGATATAACCGATGAATGAAACGTCGCCAGAATTATCGATCTTTTCCACGATTTCAAAGTAGTATTTCTCTCCTTCTTCTTCTCCTTCTTCTTCTCCATCGTTGGCCAGCCGAATAAGATCCGTCGCTTGATAATCCTCCCAAGCAGTTATCCTAATTGCGTCGTCGTTTTCGCCGCCGCGAGGTGTTGTTTCCGAAGAATATCGGCAGCGCAGTGGACGCGATCGATGATGACGTACATATAAACGATTGTTATGATACTGCTTCGGTGCTATGTTGTGATTAAGACTTGTTTGCATTATTTTTCTCGACGTGCGGAGTATGGACTCAAGCAACTTATGGACTCAAGGATTTTTTTTTTCTCCAAGTAGTAGGAGAGTATTTTTGCTGCAGATTTCACCCCTCCCTCTCCGCAAAAGAAGAGAGGAGAGAGAGATGATAATGACGCTCCAACAAAACGAATACGTCAAGCTCAAACGACGACGACGACGACGACGACGACAACAACAACGATTACGTATATGTCAAGGTTTGTTGAATTGCTTTCTTCTGTGTTGCTGTATTATCGCTCTCGTGTTCCCACGTGGCGGAGTCGCATCAAAACGAAATCCGTTTGCTTTGCAAAAACAAGGAGGAGGCGACGACGATTCTTCTTCTTCTCCTACTTCTTCTCCTCCGTCCCATTCATCATCCTCATCCATCTCTCCAAAACAACAACACCAAGCTAGTATGGAAACGAACGAGACCGATGACGTTAGTGAACTACCGCCGGCACCAGCTCTACCGCCACCACCGTCTCCTGAGATGCCTTTCCCTCCTTCCCCTCCAGAAATGCCGCCTCCACCTCTTCCGCCGTATCCGCCGTACCCGCCTTTCGCGCCTTTCTCACCACCAGACGAAAGGAAATTCGTAGAAGAACAGAAAGAAAGCGAAAAGCGTTCGACAGGCGTGGGAGGGAACGATGGAGCTGGTAAGCTGTGGTGGTTTTGTTTTTATTTGACATGTGCGTTTATCGTCGTCGTCGGCACTTGGCTCAAAGCGAGAGAGCTCACTCTGAACCCGGAGATGCGGTACAGAGCGCAAGCAAACTTTCGAAGACCAGCGACTCGTTTGCGACCCACGCAAAACTACGAACGCGTCGAGTAAACATTAGACAAACGCAACGTAGTGGCGATAATAGTAATAGTTAGGAGGGGTAGATTAGTAGTAGTAGTAGTAGAATACAGAACGTAAAAGTACTTAGTAAAACTACTTCACAAGAACTTCTCCACAAAAAAAAGAAGAGAGGAAATGGACTCTTCCCGAACTTTTGGCAATGCTCCCGCTCCTCCTCCTCCTCTTCCTCCCACTAACGCGCCATCTTCATCCACTGCCACCACTAGGATCAACACCATCGTCAGTAGTGACGATGGTTCGCAAAAAAAGCTCGTCTCTCTTCTTGCTTTTCACCATTTGCTTCTCGAGTTCGTTCACGAGTTTTACTCCTCCGCAACAACGACCACCGACCGAAAAGCGCAGGAACGAGAACAAGAACAAGAACGAGGAGAGAGAAATTCGAGAGGCAAAAATAACATCGATACAATGGGCCAGTCTGTAGGACAATCGCTCTGCGAAAAGCACCTGCTCGACGTGAAACCGTTCGGTGAGGATAAAGTAGACGAGATTATCGTGTGGATGTGCAAGAACTTTTGGACAAAGACGTTTGGAAAACGAATTGACTCTTTGAAGACAAATAATCGAGGAACGTTTGTCCTCTTAGATAATAACTTCGCCTTGACGAAAACTTTCGCCGATAAATGTAGTTCTGGTAGAAGCAGCGATAGTAGCAATAATAGTAGCGCGGCGATGCTGACAGCAACATCATCAGATGGGGGACAACAACATGAAGAGAACAATAGTCACGAGGACGGCGTAGAAGAACACGCGTTGTACTTCGCCAGTCAAATAGTAAAAGGAGCGCTGAATAGAGTGAAAGTGAATCCGCAGAGCGTAAAAGGAGAGTTTGTTTCAAAGCGCTCGCATCGCGCGGTCACGTTTACGATTGTTTTGTAAGTGATTATGTACCAAAAAAGTGCTTCTTTGAAGGAAGGCCAACAATTCTTTTTTACGCTATGAGCCGCAAGAGTGCTCCGGAAAGTTGAAATGATTTTGACGTCTCTTCTAAGCAAACATCTTTTTCTTCCCGGCTCCATTTTTCGGCAGCTTCGTTAAGTTTCTCCTTGACCTCCGCGAGAGACTTTTCTAACCCTCCGTTTTTGTTCCAAACGTAAAATTCCAACTCTTTTCCGTCTAAAATCATCTCCGAAACCTTTCTTCCTATCATCTTCCCGCCGGCCGAGTGCGCAAAGTAGACGTTGTAAAAATGACATAAGAAACGAGGCGGTGACTCTTTCGCCAAGTTCTTGAGAAATTCAGCGTATTCTTTACCTGCCCCTTTCGCCTCGGGAACCTCCATTTCCAAAGTTTCCCGAAACCACTCAATGTCTTTATCCAAAGCTTCGGAACGTTCGAGACCGCAGTCGATGAACGCCTTATACATAGGATCCGCATTCGAGGCGACAATAGCTTCCATGGCATCGTACACAGCTTTCGACTCTACGAGGAAATTCAAATAACCCTCTTTCGTCGGCTGCCATTGCGCCATGGGCTTTTGTTCGGGAACTTTTTCCGCTTTTTTTTCGCCTTCCTTTGGCGCTTGCTCTCGTGTGTGGAGCTTCATGGCCACAAAACGCATCTCCTCGACGAAACCTTTATTTTCTCCCGGGCGTCTCTCCGTGGAAGATGCCGAGCCGTGTCCGTGTCCGTGACCAGCTGCGTGTATGATCATTACACCGCCGCGTTGTCTGTCTCTATTTATATTCGTTCCTCTTCTTCTACTGCCGCTGCTACTCATAATATTTTTGTTGTTGTTGTTGTTATTTTTGTGTCTGTCGTCACCATCGACGACGAAAGAAGAATAGGAGACTCGTCGCTGATTATTGTTACTGAATCGAAGGAAAGGCGAAGAGCGCGTTGACACGGATGTAGAGGCCATCGTCGTCGTCATCATCATCATAGTTAAAATATAGTAAAAAGTCTTTTCCGTGCGTGCTTGCGTTGATTAGAAAAGAAATGAAGAGGAGAAAGAGAAGAGAAGAAAAGAAGAAGAAAAGAAGAAGAAATCGAAAATCCAAAAAAATGGCCCAAGTGCCAAGTGTGCTTGTATGTGTTTCTTTCTAAACCGTGTTTATTTAAAAAATCAATTCCCGATGTGTAAGTGCAACAATCAAGAGTCTAAATACGACTTGAGTTCAATAATCTCTTCGCAAGCTCGGCATGCCTCTTCGTACGTCGTCACCGCATCCGGAAACTTCACTCGGGTGATGTACGAACTCCCGCCGACGCGAACGCGAACTTCCATGCCAAATTTATCTATTGAAATGACCCATAAGTCATCGCAACCGTTTTCAACCAACTTCATTAGCTCACCCGAGTAGCGCGTATTCAATTGTGCCAATGTATCGAGGACGTTACGATCGTGCGAAGGCGTGACGATTGCATCCGGAGCGGCGTTCTTATACTCTTCCATGTTGATCCAATTCAAAGATCCAAATCCACCGACAAAATACGCGTCAATCAGTCTGTTCATTCTAAAAAACGAGTAATCACCCCATAAGTCCTCTAATTCCGTGCTCTCTTTTCGCGTGCTATATTTGTTCTTAAATATTTCATTCGCCGCCGCCGAGTACTCTCCTTTCGGTAGTTTGTAGACGTCCCCGAATAAGGTGACTCGGGCGTTCGCTAAACCACCCCAACCGTTCATTTTTACCGTCAAAGAACATTTTGGATCCCCGGCAATATTTCTCGTGTGTATTGCTAGAGGAGATAGGCAAAAGATCGGGTGACCAGTGGAATCCGTGGCGAAATCAACTGTCGAACAGAAAGGATACCCAGCTCTCCTGTGGTGCAACGCATTCATCGTCGTGCTCAAATCGGCATAATCGGCTTGTTCCATCAAATTCCTAGCGGCAATTGAAAGCGGTGGAAGTTCTTTATCCCTCGACCCCGCTGTAACGACGCCTCCAGCCATAGGTGTTCGTAAGAGCTTCGTCATCGGCGCCCCGTTTGTTCTCGTTCGATTTTTTGTGTTGTTTTTACTGTCGTAGTCCGATTGTCTGGGTAGTTCTAGTTCACCTTTGGACTTGTCGCCGTTCACAATCTTCACCTTGTTGTTACTGTTACTCGTGTTTTCGGTATTTTCCACCTGCTTCGCTTGCGGCGGTGATGGAGCACCGGAATTATTACTGTTGATAGTACTGTTCGTATTGTCTTTGTTCGTATTCACAGAAGAGACACTTTTTCTTTGTTGATTTCCACCGGCAGAAAATCTCCTGTGCGCGATAGTCTCTTCCACACCTCCCGCCGCGGTGCGTCGTCCGTTCGGATTCATAGACCCGAAAACAACGCATCCTCCTCCTTTGCGTCTTCTTCTATCCCCCGCGCTTGCTCTGTTGTTGTTCTCTAATCGTTGTTGTCGACCAATACGTTGGGGAAGAGGACAAAAAACCTCGTTGTTTAAACTGAAACAGTTCGTCGTCATGTTCTTCTTCTTCTTTTTTCGACGACAAAACCGCGCGCAATACAACGGGAGAAAGCGAGAGAGTGAGAGCGAGAGAGAAAGAGAAAGAGAAAGAGAAAGAGATTGAGATTAAAGACGACGACACCACGACGACGACCAAGGGAGGAAGGAGGATATCGTCTCGCGGATTATAGTCTTTCTCTTTTTTTATTTTGAAGCAAGAAGGAAAAGAGTTTGAAGAACAAAATTTTTCCATCCATGCATAGAGAGACAAGTCGTTATACAAGTCGTTATAAATAAAAATATATTCACCACGAAACCAACACATAAACAAACACCAACCCACCACTGCGGTTCACGACAAAAATGGACATGCGGAACAAAAGCGTCGCGAGGCCAATGGGTACAGACGGTTCCGATCACGCGTACAGGCAGAAAATCGTGGATCGATACAAAGCGGCGGCGAAAGCGAGAAGTTATTTAAACGGCGTCGTCGCGACGGCGATGGTGTATCACCCTTTAGTTTTACTTTCGGTTTTCCTTCCTAAAAAGATTGTCGGAAACGCAGTTCAGTACGACATACACAATGTACCAATCTTAGCGACGAATGGAATGCAGTTTTTAATCGTTTTGCTCTGCGCGCACGCGTCCAGGCAAGTGCCATCGAAGGAAAAAAGAGTTTTGAGTCTGTCTTCTGTGCTCATTCTGCTCGGCGTGTTGAATATTGTCTTCGCGTTGATGGTTCGGTTTCGGGAACATCCAGACGTGGTAGATCATAAAAAGGTAGCGTGGATTGGTGCTGTGTCGATCGAAAAAGTGATGAGAAAGTTAATTGGAGCGAAACGGTGCGACGTGTTAGGTGTGAGAGCGAATAAGATGTATCCTTCGCTCGCGCAGTTGGAAGTATTTGGTGAAATCATGAGCTTCGGTATTCCAGTTGCCATTCGAGGCATGGCTAAAGCGCTCATTAGCCACGGCGTAAAAAATGTGAAATCAAAATAGTATGAATCAGAGCGTGTCTAAAAATCTTTGGTAGGCGTGCAAATGCCTCTTCTGCGCTATTCTATAGCTAATCGCGACTTGCATGCGCGAACTTTCAATCTCATCAAACACAATCTTCTCGTCGTCTTCTAACGTCGTCGGAAACTGCGAAAGCGCCGCCACTGTAGCTTTTTTCATTTGCTGCACAATCTCCGGATGAACCTTTTCTTGATCCGCGATTTCATCTGGTACGCCTTCAGGACTTCTCTTCGAGACTGCTAACAACTGGGACCCAGCCCACGCCGCTCTATCGTCTCCTTTTTCTTTCAGCTCTTGCACTGCTTTCTTCACCACCTTGAACGGTGCCTTCCTCATACCGGGCATCACGCACTCCATGGGTATCCTATCGTTCGGATTCGTATCGTCAACGAACCCGTAATGCAACGCTAATAAAGCGTTGGGATGTCTCGCCCCGTAACAAATAAACATCTCCAATCCTTCTTTCGGTTCTTTCTCCTCTTCTAGTGGCGGCGGTAATCCTTCCTTCTTGTCCTCCTCTAAGGAGTTTTTCGCTCTCCATTTCAACTCGTACCGTAATCCATCCTCGCTGACACCATATATTGAGTTCGGCACTGTCCTATGATTCGTCAAATCTGCGCCAGGTACGACAAACGCGCACGGAAAAGACCCTTCTCCGGCCACATTCAGTTTTCCACTCATCGCTCTCGTGTGCGCGACCGATCTCGCCCACCTCAAATCCTCCAAGTCAATCATATCCTTCACCCCTTCCTTATTAAATAGTGGCTCTTTCAATAACTGTTCAAGCTGTGCCTCGTACATTTTAGCCGACCCTTTCGCCATGTTCATCACGCTCACGTCTTGTAACTCCTCCAACTCTTTTTCGTTCGCTAAATACAACGAGTCGTACGACTTTGGCAACGTCTCACGCTTATACGTTTTCCATTCTTCGCTGTTCTTGGTCAACCACGCGACGACAACGGCTATGCGCATATCTTTTGGCATTTGACACTCAGTGACAAATTTGACCAAAGTCTCTGGAATTGAAGGAATACCTAACCCATTCATCCATTCCGTGTAGAATTCTCTTACGCGGTCCTGTTGCGGCTGCGTTAACGCGGATGACATGTTTGCGCCTCCGCCGCCGCTACTGCTAAGAACGTCCTCGGGAACGCACGCGCACACGTTTAAAGGCGTGGACGTCAGCGGGACATCTTGGGAGCTTCCATTCGAGAACAAACCTCGACCAAACTTTCCTGTGGCTAAATAGGAGCCAGGGAATTCTACGCCAGCTGGAACGATGACGTGCTCTGATGGTGACGGAGACGAACGCGCGCCTTTGACGACGGAAGAAGAAACAGCTCTCTTGTGTTGGTGATGATGCGAAAGAAAGTGGAACCGAAATGTGTGTGGGTGTAGTTGTTGTTGTTGATGAAGATGATGGTGATGATGATGCAAAAAGCCACTCGGCGAGGACGCTCTGGGTGGGGGTTGCTGCTTCTGCTTCGGCGAGAGAGCCGCGGCAGAGGTGGATACGATGCCGTTGCGGTGCATGGTTGTCTGGCTTCTTAAAGTGAAGAACACACGAAGGGAAAGAATTTTTTGTCAAAGTGGATAGACTTGATTACTGGAAAACTTAGGGTGACTTACTGCTCTATGAACTTTTAAGTACTAGTATCTAAATCAATATTTATTATAATCTTTTCTTAATCGACCCAATCGACTGGCTCGCGTAAAACTTCCAACAACCGCGCCTCCTTCGACCCTTCTGGCGGAGTAGCTTTGTAATCCCATCTTATCCTTGGGGGAGCTGACACCATGATCGATTCGAATCTGTCGGGAGTCACGCCGTCTAATCCAAACTTGACTCCTCGATCGTAGAGAAGGTTGAATTCCAAATATCGACCTCTTCGTTGTTGATGCCATATAGATTCTTGTTCGGTTATTGCTGTGTTTCTTTTTTTCTTCGCGATTGGCTCCCAAACATCGAGCCAGCTCAAAGCGACTGCTTTCGTAAACGCCTTTGCATCAGACGGCGCGACAGAGGCGTCGCCGTCTTCTCCCCCCCTTGTTGCGACGTCATCGAAAAATAATCCACCGACGCCGCGATGCTCGAGCCTCGCTGGAATGTAAAAATAACTGTCGCAGAATTCTTTGTACTTGCGATAGAGCGAGTGTTTGCCGAATTTTTCCACGCTTTCTCTAGTTTGGTACTCGTCGCAAACATCTCTGCACTTACCGTGAAAATGTTTCGCGTCTTCCTCATCTAAATAATAGGGCGTCAAATCCATGCCGCCACCATACCAGGCATTTGTTTCTGTCCCTACGGATGCTGAGTCTGGTTCAACCGCGAAGCGCCTGATGTCTGCCCTAAAAGTTGGTACGTGTGGGCTTCGGGGATGCCACACTAATGATAACGCGCACGCGTTGTATTTTTGTCCTCCCTTCGGGTTGATACCTTTTCTCCCTCTCGAGGACATTGTTTTCGCGCGCGTTTCCGTTAAAGTGCCTCGAATGACCGAAACATTGCAGGCAGCTTTCTCGAATAAATCACCGTCCGAAAAGACTCTCGTTCGTCCGAACGATCCGTCTTCTCTTTCCCACGGGTCGTCGCAAAATCCCTCGTGGTTGTTATTCTCGTTGCTCCCATCTAATCGAGTCAACTTGTCGCACAACTCGCTTTGCCACTCAAAAAGGAAAGACTCAAAGTCATCACGATGTTGTTGTTGTTGTTGTTTGGAAGACGACGCTTTCAACGAAAACGAACGCGATGCGCGTTGACTCGAATTGCGCAGCCAAGGTGGACGACAACGAGAAGATGCAGAAGCGTGGATGTGAGTCGTCGTCGTCGTCGTCGAGGAGGCTTGCATGCTAAACTCTTTTTGTGTGCTGAAGTGAAGGATTTTAAGATATTTTTCATACTACAACGATGTACACGTCTGAACGCTGAAGTGCTTCACTATTCTCTCTTCATCAGGAAGAAAGTTTGACTTCAAATTACGAACGACGAGCTTGAACGATTTGATGTCTCTCGCGGCCACGCGGCTCTCTATGAAGTTTGCGATTCCCGGCTGTGGAATCGAAGACGCGCTCGAAAACTTTGCCCGGAGAATCGTGGAGGAAGAGGAGGAGGAAAGTTGCGATGCACCCAGAAATATGGGAAAGAAATGGTCCTTTCCCTCTTCTAAATCGATTTCAAAGAAGATTTCTAAGGATGATAACTTGTCAGTTTCCACCGTAAGCCCGATTTGCATCCACTGAACGTCACTCGAGTTGGTTACATTTCTCGTTGGAATTTTTATTTCAAATACGAGGGGAGCGCCAATCGAGATTTTCGATGTACGAGTACCACCTCCGTAGACGTAAATCGGACAATACGACGCGTTGTGCTCCGAAAAATCGCGAGAAATTTGTTCGTGCAATTTTCCTTCCGTGACATTTATACTCATTATCTCCCCTGGACTTTTACGATTGACGAGATATGCGATATCATCGTCGAAGCGAATGCAATTAATCGTACTACTTCCATCAAACTTCCAAGACTTTTCGAGAGAAATCACTCCATCATCTCTTAAAAGAAATACAGTCGCTGGCGTAGCTTTGTGATAACTTTTCGTACCAACGATAATTTTAATTTGCCCATCATGCGTGTTTGCAATAATGCTCGTCCCTGCTAAATCATCTGTACCATCAATTTGAAAAAATGATACAACGCTCGCCATTCCATCATCCTTATTGTGCCTCACCTTACATATTGATAACGGAGAGGAATGTGACACCCAAAACGAAAATTCATAATCAGACGATTGATCTCCACGTACGAAGTGTCCGTTCCGAATCGAGCGACACGGCAAAGTAATCGACTGTTTCTGGACGAAGTTGTTGTTATCAATGGTAACAAGCTCGGAGGGAACAGCGTCTGAAACGAAATACGAAAAGTTTTGACCAGTCGAAACTCCCGAGCGAACGCTTCCAATCGTAAGTTCAAGAGACGGACCTTGTTCAATCAGATCTTCTAAGTTTACATCAAATCGAACAAGTTTTGAAGGAATCGCCCACGTCGCGACAAGAAAAGACGGTTTCCCTTCATTTAAAAAGCTCGTTATAGCAGTTATTGGGAAATTTTCGATTTGCTTTAATGTCATCACAGCGCCCGATTTTTGTGTGATCTTCCCAGCAGAAATGACTTCGGACTTTGACGTTCCTAGTAACACGTAGCCGTCTATAGAAGATATGGCACGAAATTGCGAACCATTTTTCAACTCTGGGAAGGAGAAAATACCGTCGTTATAGACTTTTCCGCCGTTCTGGCAAAACGATAAGAATTGAATCGTCGGTATTCTGTTTTCATTGAAGGCACCCACGGCAGTCGTTGCCATCTGTTTTTCTCGAATGGAAGACCAAACGGTAATATCACTGATTCTCTCATCAATTACATGAAACGGTTGCATGATTTGCATACCAAAGACGCACCCCATCGTTATTGTAATCGTAAAGATAGAGAAGAGTGCATTCATATTGTTCTATTTCCGTTTGGAAGAAGTATACAAGTGTGTGAAGATTTTTTTTTTTTCCAGCCGTGTCAGTTACTTTTGCGTTTCCTGAATATTATGACATGTCGCTTCAAACAAAAATACGTTTCATCATCAAGTAGTATTAACGTTATCGTGATTTTGTCTCACGTTACGTTCGACTGCCATCGCATCAAAAGTACCAGGTAATGTCTCGAAATTTTTATTGAATAAACTGTACGCTGAGAGTTTCCCATCTTTGTTCGTCGTCGTCGGCGCATTGGACATGTTCGAAAACATCAAATAGAACAGAGAACACAAAACAAAAATCGGGCCCAAGTCGTGATTATACGCCATCTTCGCGACACAACACCAGAAGAATGTTCCCAATATAAACCGAATCACCGCCGTGCTGCAAATGACGATGAAAAATCGAGCAGCGTTGGGCGAGAAAAAGCTGAAAAATCCTCTCCCTTTTTTGTTCCGATTCCGAATGAGAGTTCGTTGAAGAAAGTTCAAAGAAGAAGATTGTTTCCCTTTGTTCAACTTTGTCTGTTGTTGGCTTCGTGCCGAAGAAGACACCACCGGTTGGAAATTAACTAAAACTGTATCGCCTGGTTTAATATTCGCTCGCTCGTCGTCGTCGTTCAGCGCAGCTCCTCTCAGAAACATGTTCAACGACGCCGACGAGGACGACGAAGAAGATTCCGAGGCGGAGAAGAAAGCCGAAGCAATTTTTTTTCTCAACTCTCCAACTGTCATCAAACCTGAGGAAACTTCGATGACTTTCGTCTCCGAGTTGTGTTGCATCGTGCGAACCGTTATCTTCATTTTGCGTTCGATAAACCACCAACTCCGGAAGAAGAAGAAAATTCAGCAGCAGCAGCAGCAGCAGCAGGAGCAGCGCGTTTTTTAAAGTGGCGTACACGTAATTTTATGCAAGTCCAAAATAAATAAATACAAAAAGGTTCATGGATCATCACTCAAGGTAAAACAGACACTAGTCTTCATCGTCGGAACTATCTTTATCGAAGACGAGAAAAATTCTGTCCAGGTGCTTACGCAACGTCGATTGACTCTTGTCGTATGTTTTATTTCCGTCCGGGTTTTGAGATGACGACCGATCTGCGCGCGAACTCGTACTTCGTGTCACTCGTTCTCGCTGTTGTTGCTGCTGTTTTCGAACCATCTCCTCCTCCCGTTGCGTTCGCTCCAAAGCTTCGCGATTGAGTTTATTTTGTTCCAGTCGCTCGCGTTCTTTCGCTCTTTGTTCCTCAATCCGTCTTCTATAAGTTGTCTGAGCTACTTTGTTTTCCTCTTCCATTTGTCTATGTTTCAAAGCCACCGCTTCTTGCTCTTTCCGTTGCCTTTCCGTCTCTCGCTCTTTCGCTTTCGCCGATAACTTTGCCGCGAGCATTTTTTCTCTCAACGCTTCCTCTTCTTCCATTTTCAACCGCAAATTTTCCTTCTCTCTCAATCTTTCTTGCTTCAACAACTCTGCCTTCATTTTCTCGTCCGCGATGGCGCGTTGCTTCGCCTCTTGTTCCAATTTTTTCGCGCGTTTCTTCTCGTCCTCTTTCAACTGCTTTTCGTTTTCTTTTCGCTTCACCTCCAGTTCTTTTTTCCGTTCCTGTTGCTCCTGGATTCTCCTTTCTTCCTCTTGCTTACGAAGTACAGCTTCGTTCTCTCTCTCCTCTTCCACGGGAACAATAAATTCAGCCGGTTTGTTCCACTGCGCTTCGCCCGTCTCGTCTTCTCGAACGTAATAAAAGTTTCCACTCGTTTCGTCGTAATATCGAATCCACCCATTCGAGTGCAATCCGTCATCCTCCTCAGAGCCTTCCGTGCTGTCGTAGTCACTTTCGGTATCACCTCCTTCCAACTTCTGATTTTGTTCTTGTTGCTGTTGTTGCGTCGCATTCTTCTTTTTCTCCGCCGTCGTTTCCTTGGCTTGCGGCTGTCCCTGCTGTTGTCCTCCATTTTTTTTCTTGCCTCCTCCAAAACATCCTCCTCCTCTTTCTTTGTTCTTCTTCTTCTTTTTCTTCTCCTCTTCTTTTTTTGTGTTCTTCGCCGCTTCCGCCGCCATGTGTTCTCGTCGATGTTTAAATAAATTCCTTTTCTTTCTGTGTTGACTTTGTTTGATGATGTGCGTATTCACTTTTCGCTTTAACAGAGAAATAACAACAACGTGATTGATGAGTGAATTTTGTGAAAATTGAGAGAATTGCGTTGAATTGAGTGAATTTTTTTTTTACTCGCGGCCCGCAATTCAAGAAAAACAATCCTGCCAGCTGCCTGCTGATGAAAGAAAAACAAAAAAAAAGAGAATTCTCTCTCTCTCTCTGCTCTCTCTTCTTTGATTTTTTCAACAACCTTCTTCACTTTCGCTATCGCTATTCGTACTATAATACATGCGACACCGCGTGGCGACGCCACTCTTTGCTGCTCGCATCCCGTCCACGACATCTGCTCCGCGTATTATCTACACGCAACAACGCACTGCTCTGCGACGAAGTAGTAGTTTTTCTTCGACGACTTTAGAGAAGATTGCAAAATCGATATACCGGGAAATTTTGCGCGAGTGCGCTGGAAAACAACGAGCAAGAAGTAAAGTAGCAGCGGTAAACGCGTTATCTCCGCACTTGAATTTACCACCATCATCATCATCATCACCAACAACAAAAGAGACCAACACCAAGGGAGCGATTCCGTTTCGCGTCCGCGCGTTGCTCGCGAATAATCTTCGAGAAGCGTTTCGTGCCGCCAGAGACGACGACGAGGCGAAAACCAAAGTAAACGAAAACGAAAAAATAGCAAACTTGGCGCGAACGATATCGATTTGGACGTTCTGTCATCGCGCGAACGAGGACAACAAGAGCACAGAATACGTAGTGTTGAATAACTTAGTGAGTTATTACGATTCGCGAGCGAAAATACATTCTCGATTGAGCAGCAAAAAAATCCTGCGGGACCGAAAGATCTTGGCGTCGTTGGAGACTGAGTTCAATACGCTTTGCGTGAAGCCACTCATTGAACACATCGAGAGAAGCGCTTCGGTGCCCCCCAAATCATCATCATCAACGCTCCGTCCACCGTTTGTGTTTAATATTTGAGACACCATGGTGAACTTTAAAGTTTCGCGAGGGGCGAATTCGCTTTCCGGGAACGGGGCAGCTCCGGAAGTTTCGAAAGATGGAAAATACGTGAATAAAAAGACGCTGAAGGAAAACGAAGACGGGAAAGTATCGTTGAAAGTTGTTGCTCTAGAAAAACTGGGTTTGACAAGTACGACGTATGATTGTTTGCTACCAGCAAGTGCATTTGCGTTGCTTTCTGTTGCCTCAAATGAGAGTACCATCGCCACGATGAAAAGTAAGGCATTTTGTTTCTTCACGCTGGAAAAGCACAGCGACGTTGTTCTAAGAGGCGCACGTGCTGTAGATTTTGATGTTACACTGCAAGAGAACGAAGTAGCGATTATCAAAGACGTGAGAATCAACGCGCACGTGGGAGAAGACGTCGTGCACACGTTTCTTCCTTTTGTCTCAACTGCAATCGAAAAGAAAGACATCTTACACGACGTTATTGTTGAAGTGCGTCCTCTGGACAATAACAACAGCGAGAGTGTAGCTTGCGCAATCATAGACGCCAAAGATATTGAGAAAACTGCACAGACGCGTTTCGCCGGACGTTTCGTTTCAGTCGGTGAAGTATTTGCATTCGAAGCGTTGAATTTGAAAGTACGAATAGTGGGAACCAATTCGCTTCCATTAGAAGAGCGAATGGATATTAAGTACCATTGTTTTCGTGGAATTGTGGATGTGGCGGAGACGACTATGTTTTACACTCAAACCGCGCCGAGAGATATGGAGATTCTTAAGATTATGAACGCGAGAGCACCTCCGAACGAGGAAGACATGTTCTTAAAAGGCTTCGTACACGTCCACACGAACGACGAGGAGATTTTCCCCGTTCACATGAACGTCTTAAGACCGTGTGTGGCTTTGACAAAATTTATTCGCAGTGCTGCGAATGAATCGAATGTCTCGTGCTCTGTTAATATCGATACGGTGCTTTTCGATCGAGTCTTACTCTTTTTAACTTGTATCCGTGATGGAGAAAAACCACCGAATTATGATTTGCGCATGACTGAATCACTCTCGGGAGCTGCAAAGACGCTTCAATGCGCTCCACTGATCGATTACTGCGACGCTAGGCTTGGGTCGTACATATCGCGTTTGCGCGAGTATACGTGGGAGGAAATCGTACAAAAAAATAACCAAGAGCAGGCCGTTTTGTTAGTTATAGACTACATGGTGCTAGACGTGAAGAATTGGTTACCGGAGCATCCAGGGGGTGATATGATTATTCCGGCACAGTCTTTGAACAAGGATGCAAGCACGCATTTCGAATTGTACCACAGTAGCAAAGAATCCTTCTTGTATCTCAAGCACTTTTACGTGGGCGAAGTTTGCGAAGAAGACCGTGAGAAAATTCCAAAGTCCGACGCACCAGCCTCGAGTGAGTTTTTGAAAATGCTGAGAGATTATTGCGAGGATTTTCGAATCGAGAGTAAAGCGAAGAAGAAGGAATTCTTCTAATGATTCATAAATAGTACACACACAAACTTAATAAAAACAACACCGCGCCGCTCTAATAGAAAAAAATACACACTCTCGCTTTCACTCTATCACACATTCTCTCTCCACACACACACACACACACACACACACGCACATAAAGATAAAATTACGTGCTCTTGTTTTCAGGGATAGATGAAGAGGCAAAGAAACTGCTCATCTTTTGAACTTCGGATTCCTTTTTCTTACTCGCAATAGCAGTGTGAAATTCCGTCAAGCTTCGCATCGTTTCCCCGCTCAAACGGTCTTCGCTCATTCGCATAAGCGCGTGTGTCAAGGAATATCCGAGAGATTCCGCCAACTGTCTCTCTTGGAGTTTTATCTCAGAATTCTTTTGCTTTTTCTCCTCCATTTCTTTGCGCATTGATGGAGGTCTATACGCGCGATCGATTGAAATCTTCTTCAGTGGAGGTCCGTGAGTATTATCCGTATCATTTTCCGCCATGCGTGTTTTCGGCGTAGTATTTTCATCTTCTTTGTTCTTGTTATTGATGAGTTCTCTCTTCATCGCACTCGACATTTTCGAAATTTCTTCCACTTGCTTTTGAATTTTCTTCGCTTCTTCTGGGTTAATGTCTGCCGAAGAGCCTCGGCCAGCGTTCCAAACGTCTCTTAAATCTCCTCTCGAGCCCGTCGGCGCGTATCGCATGGCTTTCATGTAGTCGTCCTTCATTCCAGAATCTGGCGTGTATGGATTGTCTGACCTCGCGCCACCTTTCGATCTAGGCGTTGTTTGAACACTATTGCTTGTACTCATTATCTTCTCCTCCTTCGATACTGCAGAGTTCATTGAATCTCCGGACAAACGCGGTTCCGGCGAGTTTTGCTTCGCCGGCACCGCTGGTCGGTTCGCTCTCGCCGTCGACCAAAACTCCGTAAACTCCATCGGCTTCACGTATTGTCTGCCGTAAATGAATCTACCCGAAGGTAAGATAGAAAAGTCGACGTTCATTAAACTCTTCTCGTCCGTCGAGACGCACAAGCCTCTCTTGCATTCCTCGTTTGCGTTCGATGGATTTTTATTTTTTATGGTATCAAAGCCGAAAAACAATTTGGGTGAGGCTGCCGTGCGCGCCGCGCACACTCTCCCGCTGTGCGCGTCGTAAATGATCAAACTGAAACTGCCTTTCTTCGCGCACTCGCACAAGAACTTTCTCAACAAGTCCGTTCTCTCTTTGTTCGTCATCTCCGTGTTGTTCCCGATTGACCATCGGCGGTTTTTTTGTGTCTCGCCACCCGCGGCGTCAGCGGCAGGAGCGCCCGTGCCGTTGCCGACGTCGACGTGGGATTTCGCCAAGGGAGAATAAAAGTCCAAAACGTCTTGCGCGGTTGTCGTTTGACTGGCGACGGCAATCATGACGCCGATATTTTCCGACGTGGAGAGGACGTCTAAATTCTTGCTCGATTTTACGTTCAAGACGGCACCCGGCGCTTTGATAACTTTTTCGTCGTCGTCGTCGTCGTCGTGGTTTCCTTCTCCATCTTCTCGTCGTCGTCGTCGTTGTTTGGATAAATCGGACGTCGAGTTGATTTTCTCCGATTCAAACTCGTCCCAAACAATCGCCGAGGACGAATCAGATTTCCTCAAAATTTCATCCGTGGACAAACCAGACTCGAGCGTGAACGATACGTCGCCGTACGGTTTCTCAGCGTTGGCTGCCGCTGATGACCTCGTTTGCATCTTCGTTCTTTTCCTTTTTTTAAGTGCGGACGATTATCCAAAATCTGACGAGATATTTTGAGGAACAAAACGCGTTTCACCTCTTCTTGCGGCTCAAAATCGTTTGGAGCAAAAAAAACGCGAAGAGAAAAAAAAGGGAAGGAGACGCCCAAAATTTTTGCCTTTGCTACTCGTCGTACTACTACCGTAAGTATGAACGACTCTAAAAACATCTAATAATAATACGCTCATGCTAGTCACCTTCTAATAGTCTAAACTTTTCACTAACTCGTACGCGACGAGGACGATCCCGCACGTTGGGCCACCGCGCAAGGCGCGAGGAACGACGCCTTTGAACAAAGACGAAGCGCCTTCGTGTTTCACGAGGCTTGTCAACTCACGTAAAAGTCCTCCTCTTCCTCCCGTCCCTGCTCCCGTTTTATTGCTATGCGCTACATCCACCTGTATCCGCGTCTTCAAAACGTCAACTGGCGTCGTCACTGCGGAAATCGCCGCGCCGGCGATGTTGCCGCTCACGAAAGCCGCAGCTAAACTATCCATCTTTGGATTTTCGTTCGAAAACTGACCGGCTAATGCCGAGCGTAACTTTTCAACCGAGTACCAGTACATCATCGAAAACGGTACGTCCCGTATTAGCGTAGAAGATACGCCGGTAAACAGTAACGATCGACGCTGAATACCACTACTATTACTAACTGTATTCATAAAACTACCGCCACTCTCTTGCGCCGCGAGTTGTCTCGTTCGCATCAACTCTAAAGGCGCTACCGCAAACACCGCTATCGTTCGCGCTCCTGCTCCAGCCACGAGAGGCGCCATGTCTTCGTTTTGGACTGACGCGTGCGTCACGCAATAGTCTCGTATGAAATCGTAGCACGGTAAATAGACCCCCACGGCGGGTCCCGCCATAACCAACGCTGTTTTCGTCCCTCGCCATAACGCAGATACGCCTTCCCTCCGCACTACTTTTCGCATCACGGTCCACGCGTTTCCATCGTACGTCGTGCACTGCGTGGAAACACAGTTCGTGACGCCATTCGCGTTGGTTGGACACTTTGGCGGACAGCTCTGTACTGTTAGTGGTTTTCTTACTCCTTCTTTTCCTATACCTCCTACGCTACTATTGCTCATACCGTTTGCGCTATACGTCGTCGTCGTCGTCGTCGTCGTCGTTTGCATTCGCGTCTTTATGACGTCCAAAGGATTGGTGACGAGCACGGAAACGCACGCAGCTATGCCAGCCGCGACGCAGCGCTGTGGCAAGGACGGAACGGCCTCAACGCCACCACCTTGAAGATGTTGACGTTGTTGTTGATGAGAAGAAGAAGAAGATGATGATGATGATGATGACGTTGAATACGAGGACGATGATTGCCGCCGCCGCCGACGCGCGTCCAACGAGTCCTCCTCCTCCTCCGCCTCGTTTTTCATCTCTCTCTTCAATTTTTTGTTTTGGCGACAAGCAAAAAAAGCTTCTTTTTTTGGTTTTTCTTTTTTCTTTTTCGGGTTGTTCGGGCGTCCAGCAAGTCCAGCAAGGTGGAAGAACGAATTCGAGGTTACTCGTAGAGAGATATAAATAATCCCCTGCTCTTCTTCTCTCTTTCTTCACTTTATAAACGCACATACATAAATAAATAATCATGCAATCCATTGCCCAAGTCCAAAACGTCCAAAAGATCAACGCCGTCTCCACCGGCAAGGTCGTCAACGAAAAGTCCATGATGGTCTGGAGACCGCACGGCAACAAGTAAGTACCGATTCCGAAATTTTCTTTTCAACCTTTCGCGCGTGTTGTGGATTTTGAAGAGATTGCTTCGCGCTCGAAAAATGGGATATATATTTGTCCAAAGCATATATACTTGCGAGCAATTTACGCGCGGATATTCGTTGAGAACGAATGAAACGAGTATCGATGCACGTTTTGATGTGCTTTTCTTGGTATTCAAGAAAGATACACGTCCGTCACGCGCGTCTTTTCAAATAATCTTTCCGGGTCGTTTTTATCCACTTTTGAGTCAGCGTCTTCAAAATTCCCTTCATCCAAAAAGGTTTTGAAGAACGCGCAACGTCTCGAACACCCGGTCTCGCGAGGATTGCAGAAGCTCTTTGAAGTGCATCATCAAAAGAATCGCATTCAAGCGTATCTTTTCGGAATGAATGCGTTCTTCAGAGATGTATGCATCGTTCGCGATGCCTAGAACTTCTTCGCTTCGCTCTCGGATTGTTGAAAATAAGAGGAGGCGCGATTGGAAACGTGTCTCCTCCTCCCTTCTTCTCTCTCGTTTCAACCGAGATCTGAACACTCGACGGCATCTTTTTTTCTTTGGGCGGACATTTAAGTGTTTACTTACCAATTCCTTCCTTCTCTTCCCTTTTCACCAACACCCACAGGATGTTCGAGACCTTCTCCTTCTTGCCGCCGCTCTCTGACGCCGACTTGTCCAAGCAAGTGCAATACTTGTTGAACAACGGCTGGACTCCGTGCCTCGAATTCGAGGACCCGGCGCACGCCTACACTGACGGTCACGGTAACTCCGGTTTGGACTCCTCCATCAACACCAACTACTACGACAACAGATACTGGGTCATGTGGAAGTTGCCGATGTACGGTTGCAACGACCCGTCTGAAGTCCTCACTGAAGTGAAGGCTTGCGTCAAGGCGTTCCCGAACTGCTACGTCAGATGCGCCGGCTTCGACAACATCAAGCAAGTGCAATGCCACTCCTTCTTGGTGTACAGACCGAAGTTGTCCCCGATGGAGGGTGGTGCCAGAGATGTCGCCGACAGACAAATCTAAGCAGCTTAGCTTTGAATTTTGAATGCCACTTTACGTAGTATTCAATCAAACTACAGCACAAGAACAAATATAACTGAGAAAAAAAAAACTTCCGATGGTCCAAAGTTTTATGTCAAGCGTGAAGGATTTATTTTTGGTCTTATTAGCGTAAGATCTTTTTTGTAATCAATCACCGATATCGAACTTCATCAAAAAAACACCACCTATAAACGTCATCTATATACTTCATTAAACTTTATACTAGCTGCTATAGTCCTATCTAAATCGTTGCGATGCGTTTTAAAGCGCCCTCTGTGCAAGGCACGAGCAAGGACTTGCCGAGTCGGAGCGTGTTGGCAGCAGCGCCGGATTCGAAGCAGAACTCCGGTACAGAGTACTCGTAGACTAGATTCTCGTCGCAGTGCGTGAATGCGAGCTTTGTTCTTCTACGTGTCGTTATATTCACAGCTCTTTCGTCTTCCTTCTTTCCTTCTGGTGCCTTTTCGTTCTTCTCGAACAAGTCCTCAAAATCAGCCTCTCCAAACTCAAGAGTTTCTCGAACCTCTTCCGGTAAGTTTTCGCTCAAAATAGGCTTATGGTTTAGCCATACGTTGACTAAGAACGTTATCCTCTTAGAATCTATACTATTTTCTTCATCCCCATCGTCGTCATCGTCGTCTTCCTCGCTCTCCTTCTCATTTACATCTTCTTCTTCTTCTTCTTCTTCTTCTTCGGGGAAGCCAGATAAGGCGCTCGGAGCGGCGTGCAAACAACGACCATCGAATGTTGTAATTTTCCCTATTTTTGGCCATGAAATGTACACGCTATCTTCAACTCTACTCTTCTTATTTAGGATGGCATCATTACTCTCGTTGATGAGCATATCGTTCGTGCATTTCGGATTTGAATCGTCGAAATATGTTTGACACAACACGCGAGTCGCGACGACGGTGGGCGCACCTGTATCGGATAGGTACGTTACAGTCCCGACCTGGGGATGTACCGAAACGTTCATATTTTCTTCTAGGTAATAATCTTTATCAAAGTGCGCGCCAATATCGTCCCGAGGATCGATTACTTGCGTCCACCACTCGGCACCAGAAGTTTTCGAGTCGTAATCTTCGCCCTCCTTGAGTCGTTTCGTCACGTGCTTGAAGACTCGCAGCGCGAGTCTTTCCAACCCAGATAACGATGTTTTCTTCACTTTGTTGTTGTTCTTGTAGTTCTTGTAGTTGTTGCTATTCTTTTCTTTTGTTGCACCATCTCCATTTGGTTCTGCTGTTGCTGAAATCCAAAACGTAGAGCCAGCGCTGTATGACTCCGTTTCTAAAGTTTGTTTCGCCGTGAACACTTTTTTACAGTCGCGCAAGAGTTTCTTGAGAAGTCCGCCTTGCTTTTGTTGTCGTATTTGCTCGTCTTCGGACGAAGATACCGAGAAAAGAACGGAAGACGTGGATGCGTACTCTAGATTTGCGTTTCCTACCGCGTGGACGCGCCCGCGCTCGTCCAAGCACAATTTCTTCTCTTCTTCACGTTCTTCAACTGTCTTCGATACTTTTTTCGATTCTTCTCTTCCTTCCTTCTCCTTCGGTTCTTCGTCACCACGGAGCAGCGAATGAGGAGAAGGAGAGCGACAAAGACGACGACGCTTGGATGATGATGTCGTCGTCTTCACCGTTCTCTCTGTCCTCGGTTCGTTCATTCGTTCGTAAGAGAGAGAATTTTTGGTGCCTCCAAAAGTCCGAGGAGGGAGGCGAATAAAAGAGAGAGGGAGAGAGGGGGAGCTCACAAAGTTCCTAAAACCTATTTCCGGGCGTCCGAGACGAAACACACTTTTTTTGATTTTTTGTTTGCTGTGTGTGTGCGCCTCGAAATCGAAAAAAACAAGTGAAAATCTCATCTCCTTGAAATAAACGAGAGGAGAGGAGGCCACGTCGCTCAAAAAATAAAAAAATTTGTGCCGGAGAGACGTGGTGAGGAGGAGGAGGAGAGAAAAAAAGGGAAAAAGAAAAAGAAAGAAAAGCGGCTGAGATTGAAAGCGCGTTCTCAACAATCCTCATATTTCGCACTCATATACACTCAAATTAACACCATGCAATCCATTGCCCAAGTCCAAAACGTCCAAAAGATCAACGCCGTCTCCACCGGCAAGGTCGTCAACGAAAAGTCCATGATGGTCTGGAGACCGCACGGCAACAAGTAAGTACCGATTTCGAAATTTGACCTCCACACGCTTCCTTTGGATCGCGTAGAAATAATCGGCTGATTTGCGCGCATGTTTATCTGCTATCTTTATCAAAGATGCGGAGCTAAATTAAGAACGAAATGAACACATTCGACTGAAGAAAGTGTTCATACATCGTTTTTTAATAGTTTCATTCTTGCATAATCGGGTTATGTTGGACTCGCGCGTCGTTTTCGTTCGACACATTTTATCCTTCTTTGAGCTTCTTTTCTTGCTCGGCGCTCTGTTCTGCTTGGATATCGCGGAAGGAGAAAAAAAGCAGAGGTGCCGGTTTTTCTCGAAGGCTGAAAAAAAAGAACCTCCCTTCGCAATCAAAAGATGAAAAAAGTTTCGTTGACAAACACGTTTACTTACCAATTCCTTCCTTCTCTTCCCTTTTCACCAACACCCACAGGATGTTCGAGACCTTCTCCTTCTTGCCGCCGCTCTCTGACGCCGACTTGTCCAAGCAAGTGCAATACTTGTTGAACAACGGCTGGACTCCGTGCCTCGAATTCGAGGACCCGGCGCACGCCTACACTGACGGTCACGGTAACTCCGGTTTGGACTCCTCCATCAACACCAACTACTACGACAACAGATACTGGGTCATGTGGAAGTTGCCGATGTACGGTTGCAACGACCCGTCTGAAGTCCTCACTGAAGTGAAGGCTTGCGTCAAGGCGTTCCCGAACTGCTACGTCAGATGCGCCGGCTTCGACAACATCAAGCAAGTGCAATGCCACTCCTTCTTGGTGTACAGACCGAAGTTGTCCCCGATGGAGGGTGGTGCTAGAGATGTCGCCGACAGACAAATCTAAATTTTCTTAGATTAAGCGGTTGATTAGTCTCCTTCAGCATCATAAAACTATATGTTTTCTTCTAATGTTTTGTAAATAAATATAAAGTTCACACGTATACATATTCATAAACATAAAATTAATGGTATCTCTCCTTTTGTGTCGTCTGCCTCGTCGTCGACGTCGTGTTCGTCTTTAATTTGTTCCTTGTGTCTCCTTTCGAGAGCGAGTCATGGTGGAGGAGAGTTGGCGAAGGTTGGGCTCTGCGTCGTCTATTTGGTTCCCTCTTCTCATGCGAAAATAAAAAAAGAAGCTGCACGAGGCGAGAACGAAGGAACGACGAACACGCGTCTGAAAAGCTAGAAAAAGCAAAAAAAACTTTCCCAAAGGACGATAAAACGGCGCGATAATCTTCATAAATACACTCTATCAAACAAACAAATATATACAACATGCAATCCATTGCCCAAGTCCAAAACGTCCAAAAGATCAACGCCGTCTCCACCGGCAAGGTCGTCAACGAAAAGTCCATGATGGTCTGGAGACCGCACGGCAACAAGTAAGTACCGATTCCGACAAACTCGAAATTTTCCGCTACCCTGAGTCACGATCGTTTTTCCGAGGGGATTAATCGAGATTGATTTATCCGCGAGTCGCGGCAACCTTTATCGATGAAGCGACGATGAACAAAGAACAAAAACGCGATATTTGTGTGAAAGAAGCTTTGCCACGTCCTTTTCGACCATCGTTGTTCTCGAATAATCGGATTCATTACGTCGCGCGCGTCGTTGTCGATTTCACCTCTTTTTTCTTTTATCCCTTTCGCCAAACTTCCTCTTTTCTTCTCGTTGCGACACGAAGCCGCCGAACGAGGAGGGATGAGTGAAAAAAAGGTAGAAGTGAAAAAAAGGTAGAAGTGAAAAGAGGAGAGAGGAGAGAGAAATTTTTTTTCCTTCTCTCCTTTCTTTTCGTTCCACAAAAAGAAGAAATTGAACACAAGCAAATAAATATATCTGAAATGTTTACTTACCAATTCCTTCCTTCTTTTCTCTTTTCACCAACACCCACAGGATGTTCGAGACCTTCTCCTTCTTGCCGCCGCTCTCTGACGCCGATTTGGGCAAGCAAGTGCAATACTTGTTGAACAACGGCTGGACTCCGTGCCTCGAATTCGAGGACCCGGCGCACGCCTACACTGACGGTCACGGTAACTCTGGTTTGGACTCCTCCATCAACACCAACTACTACGACAACAGATACTGGGTCATGTGGAAGTTGCCGATGTACGGTTGCAACGACCCGTCTGAAGTCCTCGCGGAAGTCAAGGCGTGCGTCAAGGCGTTCCCGAACTGCTACGTCAGATGCGCCGGCTTCGACAACATCAAGCAAGTGCAATGCCACTCCTTCTTGGTGTACAGACCGAAGTTGGACCCGATGGAGGGTGGTGCCAGAGATGTCGCCGACAGACAAATCTAAATTTGCTTAGTCACTTAGGAGAGAAGCGATTTATCGGTTCGCTCTCTAGTCAAGTTTTTTTAGCGAGATGTGCACGCGTATAGTGTAATGAAAAGATTTTTTCTTATCTCATATATATATCTTTACTCTCTTTTGTGCTACTTGCTATGACGCGTTCATTTCCATCACTCTTTGATATTTTCTCTCTCCCATTTTGGCGAATATACGACTGGAATTTTATCGAGCTTCGCGGCTAAGATGAAATCATACATGGACAACGCACCTATGGCGTGCGTAGATAAACTCACTTCCACTTCTCTATAATTTGTCAACTTAAAGTCCGGGTGGTGCCCTTCTTCCTCGGCCACGGTTGAAAGTTGGGAGAAAAAGTCAGCCGCGCATTGCCAGTTCTTCGCCGTGAATTTCCTCGTTATTATCGTTTTTCCTATTCTGTGCCACAGCGGGTATTCCGCGAGTAGCTTTTCGATCTCTTCTTCGCTCAGTTTTGGAGTCTCGCGAGAACAACCTCCGTTGATTTTACACGAGAGACTTTGTAGTTCATCTTTGTTCATTTTGTTGTGCACGCACAAGCTACTGTTAATAATATTATTATCACTATTATTACTATTACTACTAGAGTGCGTTCTGAAAAGATGTCTCACGCGTGATGATGACGATGACGACGATGATGATGATGATACTATTGTCGAAACCAATCTCCGAGCAACGAGCATCAAGTATGGACTTTATTTTTGAGGATTCTCTGTACTCGTAAGATCTAAATTTCTCTACTGCTGCTATAATAATACATTTTTCACCGCTTTTGTTGATACCGAACCACGTGGGTTTCGATGTTATCGATAGTTTCTGATTCTTCGCAACTCGAGAGGGTGAGCTTTTCGCCCTTTGTCACGCGTTCGAGGAGTCTTTGCAAAGCTCGAGACGAACGCGTCGTCGAGATGGTTGGACTCGAATTTAATCTTGCGTTTGGCTTTATTTCGAAAACTATTTCTTCATCGTCGTCGTCATCGTTTAAGAAGTCGGAGAACATTCTCATAAACTCAAACGTTTTGCAAACGAAAAGACCACCGACTCTTTTCGTTTCCTGTTCAAGGTTCTTTACTTTTACCCATTTTGGAATGCTTTTCACGTCAATATCTTCCAACCAAGGAACGGGAATGTCGTGGTCACTTTCGAAATGCTGGGATACAATTTGAACCTTCAAATGGATGCGTTTGTCTTCATTGTCTTCGTTTGAAGCGTGCGCCACGTAGCGCACGCCGAAAGCGTCTTTTCTCACGTAGTCTGGAATTTCAATATTCAAATATTTCGCCACCTGTAACATAACTTGGTCCGTTTTCGCGTGAACAACCAAGTCTGCGAATTGATCTTTTTCGGTCGCTTGTAAGTTAACAATGGCGAGCTGCCCTCCTGTTGTCTTTCTTGTTACTGTTTTCTTATTCTTACCACCACTACTACTCAAACTACTACGTTTTCGTTTCTTATATCGAGCATCCGGTATAGTCAATAAAGGTAAATCGCCCGAAGGTACTATTTGTAACGAGCTTCCAAGCACGAGCGCTAATTTAGCTTTCTTCGCCTCATTCTCGGCTCTACAAAGCTCTGGTTCCGGTAACGCATCGTCCCAATCCAACACCTGATCTCGGAGCTTTCCCGCGCACTCTTTTCGTCTGCACCGTCTTCCTGTATATTTAAAGCCGACGGACTCCATCTCAAAGTCGCGAAAGTATTCGCATTCGCACGTTTCGCACCGTTCGGCGAAACAGTTCCCATGTAATTCACCGACTTCCTCTCTCGGTATTCCACTGCGGTAGTGCAATCCGTCCACGTTACAGGAAACTACGTATCGTATGTACCCGGCTTTTTGCAATCCACACAACACCATGTGCGTGACAGTTGGCGAAGCTAACGGGAACGGCACCGAACTCGTCGGTAAATTTTCCCCGGCTTTCTGGAGCGTCCATATCCCTTTGGGCCCTCGAAAATCGGGAATCCCGGCGGCGGTGCTGATGCCAGCGCCCGTGTGAACAATGACACCCGTCTTCTTTTTCTTTTTCTTCTTTGTATCATCATCGTCAATCTTCCCAGCTTCTCGTATCACATCCGCCAACTCTTTCGCCAACTGTTCCACTCTCTCGCTTTCGAAATGAATCTCCTCCGAACCTAAGGTCCCACCGACATCCTCTTTCCACGCCAATCTTTGAGCGTACCCTAACGAAGACATGTTGTTGTTGTTGTTGTTGTTGTTGTTGTTGTTGTTGTTGTCATTGTTCTTCTTGTTTTTACTCTCTTCTCTCTGCGGAGGTCAAATTTTTTTTCTTGCACGCTTTTTTTTTTGCTGCTCTGCCCCCACAAAAACAGCTCTTGAATTGAGAGAGTTTTTTTTTGCCCTTTTAAACTCCCCCTTTTTCAAGTCGTCTTTTAAAGTTAGATCGCGCCTCGGGATAATTCTCTACTTTTGTACTCTCTCTCCTCTCTCTAAACGTACGCATCAACAGTCCTGAGGAGGACACACGCACACGCACACACAGAGAGAAAGAGAGATAAAGCGGAAGACGTGAAACGCGCGCGTGCATTTGAAACAAGGAGACAAAGACAAAGAAGAAGTTAAAGAAGAAGAAGAAGAAATTTCTTGACCTTCTTTTTTCTCCCTCGAGGCTTTTAATAACGGTGCTTTTTAAAGTCAACCCAAAAGGTGGTTAATTTAAACAACATAAACAAAAACCAAACATGGCGTGGACGGAAGAAGAGGACGAGCAACTGAGAAAGTTAGTCGCGGAATTCGGGCCGAAAAAATGGGTCTTTGTTGCGAGTAAGATGGAAAACAAAGGTGGGAAACAGTGTCGAAGACGATGGCAGAATTATTTGAATTGCGATAATAATAAACAAGGAGGGTGGTCGCCAGAGGAAGACGAGGTGTTGATGAGAGAACACAAGATAGTTGGGAACAAGTGGACAGAAATCGCCAAAGCAGTCGGTGGTCGAACAGACAACGCGGTGAAGAATCGATACGCGGCTTTGATGACAAAACAAAGCGGAGGAACAGCTTCAGGTGGAGTTAAAAAGAAGAAACCCCCAACAACGACGATGCCGACGACTTCGCCGGAAAAGGCGGAGAATAAGGATAACAAAACGAACAAGGCGGAGATTAAGGATAACAAAACGAACACAGTAGCGAAGAAAATGATGAAGAATAAAGACGAGAAGAAAGCGCCGGCGAGCGTAGCAAAGAAACCGACCGGTGCGACGTTGGCGAAAGCGGCGGCGGCGCACATGAAGGGAGGTCCAAGCGGCGTGGGCTTGAAGAAGTTAGATATTAAAGGAGGAAGAGGCGGACCGCCTGGGTCGACGTTATCGCCATTTAAAGGCTCGGACAAGTGGTTCAAACCGTCTTTATCGTCGTTAAAGGTTCCTTCGAGTAGTAGATTCAACGGAAACGGAACGACGCCGGGGATATTAGATTTCTCGCCGTTAGTCAACACCCCCAACTTTAACTTGCTCACCGGAGCGGAGTTGGAGTTGTTGAAAGAACTCAACGCTTCGTTCTCACCAACGGCGTCTGAAGCCGCGTTTGGGTTTAATACACTAACTTCAGACAAGCATATAGGCTCTGGTTTACCAAACATGGCTCCAGAGAGTCCGGTGTTGGATATGCACCAAGTTTTAAAGTGGATCATAGCGGTGACGCCGAGAGGCGACGAAGCCGGCACGAAAGCGACGCCGTTTGCCGGTGTTCAACCGCCGCCGTTGAGTTCGAAGCAAGCGGAGTTTTTAAAATCTAGTCTGGAAGAGCGATTGAAAACTGTTCACGATGCACCGACGGGCGATTTACCTCCCAACATCCCGGCGTTTTCGAAAGATGAGTTGAACACGCTCTTATCCGCTCTGGGCGAAACTCCTCGGACGACTGGGCGCAATTCCGCAATGTTGAGTCGGCTGCAAAACCCGTTTGGAAGAGCGACTTGAGAGTAAGAAGATTTTATCCTTCTATTACTATATAAAATCAACATATCATTATTATAGCCATTCCCAAAAAGGAATTTTGACTCGTCAGTTTATGAGAAAAGAAAATGTATTCTATTTTAAAATATAAAAACCTCCTTATTCTGTGGCTGCTTCGTTCGCATCGATTTGACTCAAATCTAACTGCTTCCCAGTCACCCTTCTATACATGTCTAACACGTCTCTAACGGTCGATTCAAAGTGCGTGGTCGCGTCGTACCCTCGACTAATAATCGCCTTTTCTTTTATCCCGTCCGTCGTCGGCGCCATGATGGGACAGATGTGGACAAACTTTTCGTCAATCGTACCTAACAACGATAAACCAGACGCTAATTCTTGTTCCGGGTTTGCAGTTTCTACGTTTGTACTCACGAATGCGACGTAACGTCCTTTCGCGCACACGTTGTGCATGTACGAGCACCCAAAAACGTACACGTCGTTCTTCCTACCGACTTGCGAAGCCGGGATTATGATTTGTACCGAGTGCGCGTTTTCGACGTTATCGATCGGGTGCGAGAGAAAGCACAACGCCCTGGCAACGGAGCCGACTTGTACGCTATGTTTAGGAAAATAAGACGGATCCCCGACGATCGCATGCTTTGCCTTTGCCGTGACAACTTGCGGGCCCTTCTTTTCCTCTCCTTCTCCGGCGCCGACGGTTTCATCCTCCATAGTCGCGCTCACTCCGATGGCCTCTCCAGTTTCCTCGTTCCATTTCACTTCCGCGTCTGGTTTATTCAGCATGTACGTCCCACCATATACGGCGGATAATCGCGCGAAGCCTTGCGGCAGTTCTCCTAAACCATACAACGGGTAAATATACGGACTCCCGGTGTTGAATCTCGCTAAAGACTCTTCGTACAATTTGACCGCTTTGACCATATGGATGGCTGGAAAATCCATGTACCTCTCGTCCGTATACAGCGCCAGCGCGTGTCCAATAAACTCGATCGTTTCATCCGCTAACCCGTACTCTTTGTACAACTGTCTCGACGTCATTGTCCTCAAATCGTATCCTTTATGCGTCTCCACTCTCGTTTCGTCGTAGTCCTGTACGAACACGAAGAAACTCCTCGCGCGTAGCTTCTCAAACATTCCCATCAACGGCGACCGCAACGCATCTTTATCCGTCGCTGGAACTTTAAACAACTTCCCTTGTTTAAACACGTACGACCCTTCGGACGCTTTGAACGAGACGTAGTTGTGCACTCCCGTGTGCACTAAAAGTTTCACCAGTAAACCGTTTCCCATCATCATCTTCGGAACCATATCGATGTTCCAATCTTGCCATCGACCGTATTTCTCTTTCAACTTCTCCTCGAATACTTTTTCACTCTCCTTCGATGAATTCTCTCCTCCTTTCGCTGATGAGAACTCCTCGGGACGAAACTTCTCGAAAAGTTGCTTCAGATTTAAACTCGCGCTTTCCGCTCCGTAATACGCGTTTCGATCTAAATGCAAGATTTTGTACCCTTCTTTCGAGAGAACGCCGGCTAATAAACACTCTTTTAAACCCGTGCCGAGGATGATGGCGTCGTATTCTTCGTCCATACCACTCTATATGCTCTGTGTGTGTGTATATTTATGTATGTTCTTTGTTTATGTTTATGTATTTAATGAAGAATTCTTTTCTCTTTTCAACTTATACTAGAGCAGAGAAGTCTCGTCTTTTCTCAACAGATCGAATACATGAATACGACACACACAAGAGAAGAAGAAGAAGAAGAAGAAGAAGAAGAAGAGAATAACAACAGGAAAAATATGGGACCTCGTTCTCGTTCTCGTCCTCGTCCTCCTCGTCCTTATCTTTCGTTTTTCTTCTTCTTAATAACGTGTCAATCATCAATTATTGCAACAATACTCGTGGTAAACGGTGACTTACACCGCGGGGATATCGTTCCGACGAGCAGTCGAATGCATCTGAAATCGTCCAAGCAACGAACGCAGTGGATGGACGTTTTGGAGAAGCACTGTCCGAGCTTTGGGAGGAATAAAATGGTCGCGTACAGAGTGGAGAAACCAACCTCGCATTCGTTGATGACGACGACGGAAGGAGAGGAGGAGGGAAAAGAGCAATCATCAAACGAGATTAAGATACAGTTTGCCTTCGATAACGAGAGACATTTTACGGTGTGGATGCCGTTACGTTTTTCTTCTTCTGTTTCGCCGCCGCGAACAACGACAACAAAGGGGAAAGAGAAGAAGATACCGATGATTACGTTCACGTTCACACACCACGCCGGATACATCGTGAACGTGAAGAGTGAATCGTCCTTCATTGAGAGGAAAGGAGCGAAGAAACAGTTACATCAACAACATTATGAAGCGCTCGCTGAGGAGTGGTCGTCAACTTTGGCGCGAAGAAGCGAGTGGCCGAAACACGTGTTGTTAAAATACGAATTCATCGAGAAAGAGAGCGTGGACGTGAATAAAGGGTTAGGGGTGTTGATGTCGTTCATGTTGTTAGTATTCGTTGCGTCCGTGAGTAGAGTAAAAATGGATGAAGATGATAGCGGCGAGGATGGAGATAGCAATAGTAAACAAAAAGGGGGCTATGAGGACGAAGCGCCAAACGTCATCGTAGGCGCGAATACGAGCGAAGAGTTAGTAAGAAGGCAAGCGCGGCGCGCTTCGGATTTCATTTAGTTTAGTTAGAGAGTTATTAGTTTTAACGCGCTGTTAAAAAGCTATTTTAAAAAGAGCACGTGCAGACTGCAGAAGCTTAAAGAGCTATAGCTATTTCTACTTTCCTTCTTCACTTTCTTCGCCGCCATCCGCTCCATCTGCTCCTGGTTTCTTATCCACACCTAAAACCGCGAGAACGTCGTCCGCCATTGAAGAAAATTCATTCATCAATCGCTTGTGTCTTCGGTAAAACGCGCTTCCACCGACTCGTCTTAGATCAAACCTGTCATGTAACGAATCCACGACTTTGTCCCAAAATCTACTCGCTATGTTTTTTCTTCGCATGGTTTTGATTCGAACGAAACCTCTGCCTTCTTGCAGCGCGTCTGGTTTCATTTTCGTCGCTGGATAATCGACTGGCACGTTCTTCTCTTTCCACCACGTGAGAAACTGTCTCAAAACCGTCAACGCGACGGTATCGGACGGATCTGGTCTAGAGTGTGGGTCTTCTGGAGTGCCTTTCACGGTTGTTTTCGCTGTCAAAGGCGAAAGGTTACCCAAAAAGAGTAAGTGCGTATCGACTCGTCTCGCGAGGATACCTTGCGTTGGATCGTTAAAGCCTGGACAAATCAGCGGCGATTGACCTTTCTCACTCTCCTTACACTTTCCTAAGAAAAACTTGGAATACAAAACCAAAACGCGGTCATCCCGAACGTTATCGCCTCTACCCAACGGCAAAATACTCGGGTAGTGAATTCGAACATCCGGTTGAACTAAGTCATCAAAGGCCGCGACAGTGGTCCAATCTTCACCGCCATTCGAGCTCAACGCAAAGTGTAAATGCGTTCGGCACAATTTACACGGATGCTCTTTACTTCCGATGTGTTCCCATCGTCGATGATTGTTAAAGGCCATCGCTAAGTGACCTGTTGGATACAACGAAGTCATGTCCAACTTCGTGTTGACGTTTGGTAAATTTCCGGGCGATGGATGCGGATCCGACCACGTCGCACCGAAATCGAACGACATCGACCGAAACACACATCCACAATCTGTCCTAAAGAGCATTGTCAACGCCGGTTGTGGTTCATCCGATCCTTGCGGTAACGCCGAGATTTCAGCAATCGCGCCTTCCAACAAACTCGTCTTTGGATGTCTGATGTCACCTTTTTTTGTCCACGTCTTCCCATTATCGGAAGATATGAGTACTCCAGAAATGGTTTCTCTATCTGGCGGACATTCACCTTCCGCGTAAGATCTCGTTACGCACGCACCTGCGTTATTACTATTATCGCTATTACTATCATCTTCGTCGTCATTTGGATTGGCCGAATCCGAGCTTTCGTATTTGAAGTTATATTCTTGCCAGAATGGCAAAATCAAATCACCGTTCGAAGCTTTGATTGGCTTGTTCGCGATTAAATACGGCATTTCTCCTCGTTTTTGTTCGTACACCATCTTCGGAGCTGACCAAGCGCCTTCATCGACAACCTTCCCATCCTCGCCAAAGTTATCGATTTCAATCATCTTGATGTGTCCTCCTGGATCTGATCTCGGAACTGGCTTCGCGTAATGTTTGACGCACAATTCCGACGCCGCATAAAACAACATCAACTTTTTCGCTTTCTCGTCGTAGTGTAAAACCGGTGCCCACACCGCTCTCCCTTCGTTCCCAACTGGCGCTCTTTTGCTGCCGCTCCACGATTTACCGCCGTCTTTGGAAACCGAGTATAAAATAATTTGGTCCGGTAAACCTTCCACGGCGAACTTTGTTTGTCCGTTTTCCATTTGTAAACTCGGCGCGGCTTGGAACGCGGCCACGATAACATCGTTCGGTAACGCCGCCGCGGTAACCATGTGCGCGTACCGATACGTCTCGTTGAATGAAAATACTTTCACCGCTTTCCCAAACTTCACTGTCGGCGCGTCATTCAACTCTCCGTCGAAATCAAACACCGGTTTCTGTCTCAAAGAATTACACACCGGGAGTACGTTCGATACTCCAGAATAGAACGTTCGAGCACCGTCTAATTGTGCTTGACATTTTGCGGATTTTTTATTCGCGCCTGCAGTACTCGCCGTTATTGTTCCTCCTGCTGCTGCTATCTTCTTCTTCGTAGTCTCCTCATCACCACCACTGTTACCACCGGCGGAAGACCTTTCGCGGACAATCTTCTGCGCTTTAGCCGCCGCAGCTTTCGCCGTCGACGCGTGTTTCTTCGACGACTCTCCTAAATCTTCTTCTCCGTCGTCGTCATCTTCTTCCTTATTGTTGTTGTTGTTGTTTTTCGTCACCGCTCGTCGCAAATCGACTTCGTGTTCTTTCTCCGAGTGGTAATTATATTCCGTATTTTCACGGTGATGAAGGTGTGAAGAGTGATGATGAAGGGGAGAAATCTGTGGTCGAACGTACAGAACTAACCCTACGCAACAGACGATGGCAAACCACAGCGGCAACGATTTCGATCGGAGCAAAAACTGTACGATGGAATCTCCTCCGCGAGACGATGAGGATTTCAAACCTTTCAGTTTAGATTGCGAACCACCTCCTCCGTCGTCGTCGTGTTTGTTGGTGGCGGCGGCCCAGTTGCGTCCGCGAAACTGAGAAGATGATGACGAAGAAGACGCGTTCGTTCGCGAGCGAGCGTTACCCCACGCCATTTTATTTACGTGCGATGTTTTTGCTCTCTATAAATGAAGTGGACACGAAAGAGAAAAAGATGTGAAGTGAAGAGGCGAACTACACTTTTTTACACGATAATAATAACATCTTCTACGATTCTAACTATCTACCATTACATCACGCATCAATCACACGTCAAACTCGAACGTCACTCCGGTCTCTCTTTTACACGTCTCCCAAACCAACCTCGTCTCCGGGGAGCTTTTCGCCTCCTGCGATAGTCTTCGATTCACGAAGTATCCGCCGTTGTTCTGCGGCAACGTGAACTTATCGTTCGTGACTAACTCGAACTGATCGTTCGCGTCGTACACTTGCACGCCACAAGGACCCCAGCCAGCGAGTAACATTTTGGTATTAACTGTTCCAGGATCGCACGTTAGTATCGTTCTCACAGTCTCGCTGTTTTTCATCATTCTTAAATACATCTCAAAACTTACGCTCTTCATGCACGTCTTCGAGTGAGAGTAGGACCAATGATCGCTCCATTGTTTCTCAAACGTCAAATCGTCTAACTGAACCCCACTCGTTTGCGAAATAGACGCCACGTTTAGTATTCGAGCGTTCGTATCCATGCTGTTTTTGTTCCATAATAAACAGTTCAACATGTAAGGAGCCAAGACGTTGATTTGAAACGTCAACTCTATTTTCCTCTCGTTCACTTTACGCTCTGGAAGGAAAACGCCCGCATTTTGCACCACAATGTCCAGCTTTCTGCCTTCTTTCTCCACCACGTCTTTCGAAACTTTATCGAACAAGTTCTCCACGCCTTCTAAAGTGCTCAAATCGCTCAAAATCGCGCCGACGACTTTCCCTTTATCACTGCTGGCTTTAGAAATCTCCTCGACGGCTTTGTCGATTCTCTCCTGCGTTCTCCCGTGGACGATGACGTCTATATTTTGCTCCACTAATCTTCGAGCGGTGTGTTTGCCAATGCCATCGGTCGTACCCGTGATCAACGCGAGCTTTTTCTTACTCTTCGATGATGATGATGATGATGATGATGATGATGATGACGAAGCAGATATCGTCGCAATGAGCGCTTTCATATTTTTTTTTTGAAGCATCTTGATGCCGTTGTCGACGATTTTTTCATAACTTTACGACACGTTAAATTCGTATAGAATAATAATAACCACACAATGGAGACGACGACGAAATCCGCTCTGTTGGAGTTTCTCCGAGCGGACGAAACCGGTGAGTAGAGCGATATTAGAGCGATTGCCTTCTCTTTCTTTTTATTCTCTTCATCACGTTATGGTCCTCTTCTTCACGCACTTAACAAAACAGACTGACTTTGAAAATGTATAACTGACTCATCACTCTCTCTCTTTTCTTATTTTCGTTCTATTCGACGCGACGCGTATAAAAGGCGCAGACATATTCGCGAGATCAAAGATTGAACCTCTGAACACCGGTTTGTCTTTTTTAGACCAACACAAATCCTTGAAACATTCGCAAGTGATCGAAGCGTGCGGGTTGGGTGGAAGTGGGAAGACTGAATTGCTGATTCAAACTGCCGTGGGCGCGATATTACCGAAAGTCTTACACAACATCCCGTTCGACGGGAGCGAGCGAGGATGCGTTTTAATCGATTTAGACGGGAAGTTTGACACGTTACGGTTTTTAGAGGTGTTACAGGCGAGGATTAAGGAGCGTTTACAGATTCACCATCGCGAAGGAAAACGAGGAATAGACGTCGAAAATGAAGAACGACAACAGCCCGAGAACGTCATCACGAGAGAATCTATATTTGACGACTGTCATAACGTTTCGTTATCTAGATTTCGATTGATGCGGTGTTATTCGAGCATTGATTTGCTCAAGTGTTTAACTATTATGGAAAAGGACGAGAAGTTCATGCAGTTTCCGAGTTTATCCGAGCAACATTTAGAGAATAGTAACAGAAATAACAATAATAACAACAACAACAACAACAACAATAACATGACGCCGGTAAGGTTGGTACTCGTCGACAATGTGGCCGCATTTTATTGGATAGACCGCGCATCCCGTCGCGATAAGAATGCGCCGTTTAATTTACAAAACGTGCACTTTTCGGTTGGGCAAAAAATGTTAACCATAGCTCGTAAGCGACGCGTCACGTTTCTATGCACGAAAACGACGACCAAGCTCGATCCGATTGGTACGAAGCACAAAGACTTTTTGCCTCTACCGTGGTCGAAATGCGTAACGCAGAGACTACTATTAGACAGAAGGGACAGTAAGAACAGCATAGTCCGTTGGGATAATCCGGCGGAGAGAAACAGTTGCGGCTATTCAATCACGCCCGGAGGCATTAGAGCAGACTAGAAGTAGAGTAGACTTAGAAGAATTACCTGTACAAGATCATATTTTATAATATGCATGCACGCACGCACGCAAAAGAAACGTATATGCACATAGGAAAGCATAATTGTTCGATATTATCGAAATTGTAATATCTATATTCATTACATACACATTCTTACACATGATACGCTAAGCTGTAGTTTTCTCTCTCGAAAACTCACGCTCTACAACACTTTCACCCCCGTTTTTATTTCTATTCACTAGAACCATGGTCCATCCAAAGGCGACGTTGGCGATATAATATCAATCATAGAATCAAAAGACGCCGCATGTGAAGCGAGCGACTTCGGATGATCCTTATCCATCATCATTTCAACGTTCATATGGACGAGATTTTTTGATCGTCGTTGCTTGGCGATGGAGTCGTTATCTCCCGTTGGCGGTCGCATCATCGAATTTACGTTGTACGGAGAAATATCGTCATCATCGTCATCACACTCGATACCGTCGTCATCATCGCCTTCCTCGCCTGCCTCCTCTTCGTCTTCGTACACCATGTCATCATCTTCCTCTTTTCTCTCCTCCTCTTCTTCTAGACTCGCGTGCTCGCATTGCGAAGCTTGAGACGAAAACGATGGTACGTTATTTACGTCGTCAACATCCTTGTTATCAGCGTATGCGTTGTTGTTATCACCGGTGTTTGTATACTGTTGTTGTTGTTGTTGTTGTTGTTGCTGCTGCTGATTTTCACTCGTGGATGAATTGTATCGTTCCAAGATATTTCGCGAAAATAACTCGAGTTCGTTCGTGGCCAACCAAGAATCGTCGCCGACGGCCAATTTCAAATCATCCGTCAACATCGGTTCGTTATAGAGAAACCCTTCGCTCTCTAATTGTAATCTCGCGGCACAAATGCACGCCAAGGCAAGTCGAGACGGTTTGACTGAAGAAACTTCCGCGTCTGAAACGATCGCGTGGTACATCGCATAGCTCACGTCTTCAATCTTATCGGAAATCTGCGCCCATTCGACGTTACCACCGTCCGGCATTCTGGTTAAGGCCAAGATAGCCTCGATGAAGTGACTCGGTCGCACGACGCCCATGGACCATTTCAACTCCACGCACACGGCCAATTCCATTTTTCGAATGATATCCACGGAATAAATATTCGAGCCGAAATATCTCAACTTGGAAAGACTCGGGACTAACTCCTCCGTCTCTTCATACTTCGCCGCGACTTGTATGCAACACAACGCTACCAACTGCAAGGAAGATTTTGGAACCATGACAGTGGAAAGTACTCGATCCTGTTGATTGAATGAATTGAAGAAAGAGAGAAGAATAGATGATTGAGTCGTCGTCAGTATTATTTTTATTTTTCAATTAAAAGATTCCTCTCAACTTTTTTTTGAAAAAAGGCAAAAAAGGCAAGCCGAGATTTCCAAGATTTTTTTCTTTGGACAAGATATTTTCGACTTTTTCTCTCTCTCGCGCGCGCCTTTTTCTGCCTTTTCGCGGGGCTTTTTGCAAAAAAAAAAGAAGGAGAAGCAAAACAAAAGTGGGTCTCCTCCTGCGCGCGCGCGCGTGATCGACGCACAAAAGACCGATCATCGGAAGAAGAAAGAATGAATATAAACGTACCATGTATTCCACGGCCACATCCGCCGTGGCCGGACCAAACTGCGCTTCCGCGCACACGTCCAAAATCCACTCCACCAGTGGCACTCGAAATTGCAAGTGTCTCGCCTCGTTCACGTCCAAAACGAAGCGCGCGTCCTCGTCTTCTTTCCTTCGTAAATCGAGCAAGACATCCTCCCAAACCGAGATTTGCGGCTCGGTACTAAATTCTATGATCCGCTCTATGAGATCGCGAACCGTTTTACCTCTTCTAACCGCGGTAAAAGTATTGTTATTATTCCATTGTTGTTGATATTTTTGTTGATATTTTTTTGCTCCTTCCTCCTCCTCTTCTTCGTCTTGAAACTCTGAAAGGGCGTCGCGTCGATCATCTTCGCATCGATATTCCTCGTCGCTTTCCGTGAACGATTGCAATCGAATCACCCCATTCACCACGCGCGCGTTTCTAGCACCCCCACCGAACGTACCAAATCCTTCTCCCTCGTTCGGATCATCCAAACAGAAGAGCTCGTCTCCGCTGTGTTCCGAAGACACAGATTGGCGACTGACCAACTTATTTGTTTTCGTCTCTATTTTGTCGTCGCCCGCCTTCTCGTCGTGGCTCTTCGAAAACTTCGCCCCTTCGCCTCCCCCCTCGAGGCTGCTTCCGTTGCAAAAAAGTTGCTTATTTGTCGTCGGAAACGCGTCCGCGGAGGACTGTTGCGAGTAGTCTTGCGAAAACATCTTCTCGATTGATCAACTAGAGATGACCAGAACTCCAAATATTGGTTCTTTCAATCTTTATCGCGATCGACGCGCTCTCACACGACGCGCGTAAACTCGATGCGTTTTGGCGTCTAAAAAATTCCCGCCTTCAAAATCCTACAAGCTGTTGCGATTTTGCGGAAACGTGCTCGCCGTGGACTTAATACGAGGTTACGGATACCTGAAAACGAAGAACGTACCGATCGTATGTTATTTAACGCGATCAAGGCGTTCGAATCGGATTTTGTTCTTCGCGCGTGACGCTTTCGAAGAAGAAGGAGGAGGATTTATGAGGAAAAAGAGAGGCGACGCAAAAACGAAAGTGTCGAAGAAAGAAAAACTCTCGAAAAACAACGCGCGAAAGATTTTTGTTTTCGCGAAGAGAAACTGCTTTTTTTCAAACCAAAAACTGATCAGAAACCGCGCGAGAAGAGCGCCTAAATGGACGAAACGAAACGTAAATTTGAATCGCAACGATACGTCTGGTGTGAGTTGTTCGTGCTTGGTGTTTTGTAAGCCTTCAAAACTCCAAAAACCTCTTCCTCCGCACCGTTTGTCGAAACTTGTTTTTTATCACCGACAAGAGAAGGGCGACGAAAATATCGCGTTCAAACGCGCGTCCGTTCGAGAGGTGTGAAATAGCTGTATACGCGCGAATAACGTCACGCAAGTTGTTCCAGGTGATCGCTTCTGCTCTTCCTTCATCGTTTGGATACGTTCCAGGTTGATAAAGCGCTTCAATTCGTCTTCTGCGATCGATGTTTTCGGTGGAGTCTTTTCGAGGAGAAGATTTTTGAACGCGCGCGACGTCGAGCGTATGTACATCTTATCGTAGAAATACACGCGTTCAAAGAGAATACGCGTGTACTTTTATCCCTTTCTGTAGTAAATGTAAACGTAATGCGTTCATTTTATGCTCTTTCGAGGTTCTTTTAAACCCTCGTCTCCTCGTTCAAGCGCGTTCTCCTCGGGGTATTTTTTTCACTTCTTTTTGTTAAATGATTGATGATGAAGAAGGAAAAAAAGGTATGTGGACGAGTAGAAAACTAATTTAAAAAGTGTGCACCTTGTCCTTTTAAAGTGTGCACCCCTTCTTTTCCCCACACCAAAAAAAAAAGGGCTCATCACAAAAACGGAACAGACCAAACAAAAAAAAATTGTTCCAACATCCAACATCATCACAAAAAAGAAGACGACGCTTTACCCGAGACCGAGAGACATTTTTCTCTGTGTTGGTCTCTCTCTCTGCCTACACCCACCATGAGACGCATCGTCGGCGTCTCGCAAGCCGATGAGAACATCGACGAGGCCAACGAGATGCTGATGACTTCTTCTACCAATAGGAGGAGAGGAGGAGGAGGATCGTCTTCGACGGCGTCGGCGACGAGTTCTTTGTCTTCTTCTCGTAAAAATAACATGAGTAGGGAAAAGAAGGGACGCCGCGGCAATCATCATCACGAAGAGGAAGCTTTAAAAAAGGCCAAGAAGAAGACGGCGGCGGCGAAAGGAGGATGCTGCTCGAAAAAAGCGATAGCGACGCAATCGACCACGGAGGAGGTGTTGCCACACGTCCTAGAGAGAGAAGATGCGGTGATTGTCGAAGTCGACGAGGAAGAGATGACCACCACGACTGTTGGGGAAGACGAAGAAGACGCGTCTGGTGAGGAGGAAAAGGCGGACGCAAAATCATCATCATCATCATCGTTAAAGAAGACAAAGAAGACAAAGAAGAAAAAGGAAGACCACGATTCAGACGATTCAGACGAAAAAGAAGACAAAGACAAAGAGGAACAGATGATGATCTCTCCAGATTCTCCGTCCGTGTTCATCGAAATCGACGGTGACGATGATGGAGCGAGGAAAGGAACAGATGACGACGAAGACGATGATGCGCAGTCGCAATCGACGGCATCGTCGTCGTCGTTTACGTCGTCTTCCTCGAAAGCTAAACGTGTTAAAAGCGAAGAAGTCGCTGTTGATATCGAAGATAAAAGCGATGATGAAAGCGATGGTCGAGCGAGTAGTAGCGATGACGATGATGTAGAAGATGATATCGAATCTGGTCGTCGACGACGACGACGAAGAAAGAGTGATTTGGCTAAAGTCTCGGACGACGACGACGAAAACGACTCCAAGTACAACTCGTCTTCTTCCGGTTCGTTGTCGTCGAAATCTTCGTCCAAGAAAAAGAAGATCAAGGAGAAGAAGAAAAAGGGCGCGAAACCTTTGTCCTCGACGAACGACGAGGAAGCGATGATGAACGAACGTCAACCGTTGTTGAGCAAAAATAGCGAAGAAGAGAAGGCGAAGGAGGAAGAAGAAAAGAGGATGAAGTCGGGCACCGGATTTGCAAAGACGTGTAAAGCTATCGGTGCTTTTAGCGCGTTGACCATGACGGCCTCGGTGTGTTTCGTTGGTTACCAGGTGTATCCAGTCGTGAGCGATGATTTGTCTCTCGGGAATATCGCGCAACACTTACAATCGTATTTATTGGTTGACTTACCCAACGGAAACTTGAAGCCGGTGCTACCGGACGAAAGCGATTTGTTACCGATCGATGCCGACGGTAACTTCATCTTACCGGGTGGAAAGAACCAAACGGCCTCGTCGGCAACGCTCCCTGCCACTTCCGCGAAGAAAAAGAAAGGCGCATCTTCATCTCTCGAGCCTTCAGAAGAAGTTGCCGGAGACACGCACCCGGATATTATGAACGAGGCAGTCATCGGTAAAAAAGAAGACGAAGAGGACGCCGACGCCGACGGTAAAGAAGAGCAAGTAGAAAAGAAGAGCACCTTTGGAGGTTTTTTGAAGTCAAAAGCGAAGGAGGACGAAGCAACTGCTACGTCTACCTCGGACGACGCTTCCGATGATGCCGAAGAAGAAGAGAAGGAAGACATCGATGAAGAGGCTGACGATGATCAAGAGGAGCAAGAGGAAGAAGAAAAAGATGATCAAACTGATGAAGAAAGCGAAGATTCCGAGGAAGATCAGCTGAAACAGGAACAAGAAGATTCTTCGGCTAATTATTCCGGTAAAGAGCTCGAGAAAGGTTCCATCTCTTCTGGATACGCTCGATCGAAAGAGCGTTACGCCGAAGCCGTGAAGAACTTCAAGTCTGGTAAGATGAGCACCTCCGGTAAAATGTACGATCTTGGACCATCAGAGACACCCGAAGATGTTGAAGAAGAAGAAGAAGAAGAAGAGGAAGGAGGAGAAGAAAAAAAGGAAGAAAAAGTTAACGACGAGGAAGGAACCCGTTCATCGGAAGAAGATCCGAAAAGTTCCGTCATCCCGAAAGTAAAGGCAGTGGCGAAGATTGTCGACAAAACGAAAGATTCAATATTTTCTGCGCTGGAAACGATCGATCACTTAGAAAAAGGGACCGAGGAAGCACCCGACGAGAAAGAAGAAGAAAAGGAAGAAGGAGAAAAAGAGGAAGCCCCTGAAGAGGAGTCGCGCGCAAATCCGGATGATATGCCTTCGCTGGAAGGAATTTCAACCACGAGCGCAGAGAAGCGCATGAATGAAGACACGGCGAACGCGAAAGCGAGTGCAGAAGCGCGTAATTTAGCTGCCACAGCATCTGCTGCAACTTCTGCTGATGGTGCCATCGACACGTCTGGTGCTGCGGTTGAAACGACGAGCACTCCGAAGATTCTCGTTTCCAAAGCGTGCGAAACATCCGAAGATGAGACCGCTTTAGGTCTTTATCGGCAAGTCAACAGCAAATGCGAATCTACTGAAGACGGAATCAAAGTAATTGGGTGCATTCCAAAGACTAAGAACTGCCAGGGGTGCTACTTATCGGACACGCCGGCGGCATCGCAGAAAGATTCGCTGACGCAGTGCGCGAGCGTCGTTTGCGACTTCCACGACGTCCAAGGATGCCAAGCTTAATCGAAAAGTATACATATAAAATTAGATATTAAATATAGCGAGTTTATTGTTGTCAACGACACAATCGAGTGTAGCAGAGTGCATATATTAAACATAAATAATCGGTTACGGATGTATTTCTAATCGGACGCCTGAACATGGCCAATCTCGAATCGTTTTAAACACCTCAATAGCTAGATCGAAAGAGTGGTGTTTTAAAACTGCAGGTATTTCGTCGAAATAATGATACGGAACAGCCTGTCCAATATCTCGTCTCTTATAAGGGCTAAATCCGTATAAATGCACTTCCTCGCAAATTTGGGAGGCTAAAATAACGGCGTACGCTCCAGACATAGCTTTCCCGGTTTTACTCGTGCCCATTTTTTGCGCCGTCAAGTGCGACAAGACGTCCCAGGATCGCTGCGTGTGCACGACTAGTTCGGGGGACCATATCTTCAACCCTTTATTCGTTCTTTGACGCATAAGTCTGGCGTATAAGTGTTTCCTGGCGTAGTTTGATGTCACTTCAAAAACCATGAGCGTAGAGTTTCTCTTGGAAGCGTGCTTCGCTCCGCGACCATTTTTCAAAACTACTTTCGGTTTTGACTCGTCCGCTTCCGTAATCTCTTCTGCTTGACCAGATGCATCACTGTTCGCGTCGTCTTCATCCTCTTCGCTGTACTCGCCATCGCCGCGAACGAATCGTTTCGTGTGCTGCTGATTGATCAAGTCAAACGTCGTCCTATACCCGACGTCCTTTTCAAATCCATCTATCGGCGCGTAATTCACCCTCCAAACCGCGTCTTTCCCATCGATTTCTTCACCGTATCCTTTCCCTAATATTGCTCCCGAGTTTCCCACAATCGCGCACGTTCCAAAACTAAACTCTTTATGATCCTCGTCCTCTCTCGGGAGCTGCTCGACTAAATCGCCTCTAAAATCTAAAATAATCTCTTCGTCCTCTGACGTCCCCACGCGTCTGGTCATTTCGTCTTGCCAACTGTTCCCGCTTCTCTTATTCATCAGCGAAGGGTTGTTTTCTATTCCATCGTCGATCTCTTCTCCGCCGCTGTGACTTCCCGGTTCCACTCTCTCGCCGTTCCTATCAATCTTCACCACCCTTACTCCCGGTTCAAACATCGATCTGTGCATAATTAAACTCCTTGTTTTCGGTTTATTTCTAGATCTGGCGGGATCGTAATACGCACCAGTGACTCGTACAAACAACGGATCGTCTACGGATTCCAATCGGTGCCAAACCTTCCTTTCCTTATCATCGCCTCCCGAGGACACGCACCGGCCGTTCGGGCGCACTTCGCTCGTACCTTTCGGACCGACGTGTTCCAACGTAAACTCTCCTTGTTGCGTTTGCCCACTCCTTCTGTTCCGTCGTCTACTGCTACTGCTACTGCTACTGCTCGCGATAGGCAATGGTGGACTCGATAATCGCTTCTGCTCTCGGGCGATGTATTCTTCCGTCTCTTTATCCAAAGCCCGGTTTTTTTCTCTCTGTCGTTCTGCTGCAAAAGTTGTCTTTGCCTCGTCTTCGTTTTCGGATGATGTTTCTTTCGCACCTCTTCCTCCTCCTCCTCTGTATCCTCCAACGGCAAACGAAGAAGACGAAGAAGCGTCTTCTTTGGTACTCGCCGCGTTTCTCGCTCTGTCTCGACGCGCACCCTCCGGGGAAGTCGTCCGAATCGTCTCGGAGAAGTCAAACGCTTCCCCGACTCTCCGGTGGCCGTGGAAGAACGTCGCGAATACCGTCGTCGCGAAGAGGAGGAGAATAAGAATTAATACGTTTTTCGTCGTTTTCTTCTTCCCTCTTTTTCCTCCTCCTCCTCCTGTGATGACCAGGGTGCCTGTCGCGTCGTTCGCGCTCTCTCCGCCGCTGCTGCTCCTTCGCAGCATCTTTTC